TTATGGAGGAATATAGCTTTTGCTTAGTATTACCTAATTCAGCAATTTTTAATACTATTTAATCAGTTTTGGTAAAATCGCCGTTCAAAAATGGAAATATTTTAAACTACACATTATAAAAGTTTCTGATAGTTTATGCTTTATGCTGTTTCGTTTAAATTATTTTTGGGACGCCCATTGTATTGAACTTTTCTTTTTTGTAAATATCAAAAAAACGGAGTTTACCATTATAAAAACCTTGTTTATTCTGATTTTATAGTAATTTTTTAAACTTTTAGGATGAAACCAGATTGTCTCGAAAATAAAATAAGTGACAATATTTTGTGTATTTACCGAAATACATTGTTTTCTTGAATATTTGGATAAAAGTTTGTGTTTTTTTCTATAATGTAGTGAAATTTTTTTTGTGTCCTTAGTTTTTGTGTAATAAATTTTTAAAAACAATATACCGAGGGGCCGTAAACTCTGGAATCAATTGTATAAAATTTTGAAATTTAAGCGTAATGGCTTGGAATAATTAAAATTATCTTTGAATTGTTTAAAATTTCTGGTATTTTTTTTGAATTATTGATAATTTGTTTTGAAAATTACGGGAATTAATTTGGAAATATAGGATTTAATCTGAAAAAAAAAATGGAATTATGCAGGATTATATTGGAATTACTAGAATTTAGGTGGATTTTTTTAGAATCACAGGAATTCTCTTTGGAATTACTGAGATTATTTTCGAAACTAATAAAAAAATTTTAGAATTATCAGAGATAATTTTTTAGAGATAAGATTTTCTTGATAGAGCTATCGGAATTAATCTGGAATTACAAATACAGGAATTATTTTTGAATTACGAAAATTCAGTTCGGATCTTATACCTCCATGGTTCGGATTACAGGAATTAATTTTGAATTTATAAATTAATCTAAAAATAATGGAATTACGAAAGAGTATTGCAATTACTGGAATTTCGATTATTTTTTTAATATACTTAATAATGTGTTTTTATTAAATAAAGCAAATATTTCAAAACCTAATAAAAAACACTTATTGAAAAGTAAATAAAAATTTTGAAACGTAGGTGTAATATATATTCACTTTATTTTAAATGACAAAAAATATGTAACAAACTCAATGTGCAAAAATTTTAAACACTTTTTGTGAGAAATCACCACTCTGTATTTTCAGAGTCAAAGTGCAAAATTTAAACTCTGATAACTTTGAAATTTTTATAGACAAAATTTTTTAACATGTTTTCCATGTTCTTGGTATCTCACCTTACATGGCATTTTTGGTCCACCTATAAGTATTTTGACAACAAATAATTAATAGATTAGGTGTATCGTCTGTAATAAATGGATTTTTTATTCAATACTATTAAACAAGAAAAACATTATTACCTATTTCTAATTACCCACAAGTTGCTATTATGGTCAAATGATTCATTTATTAAGATATCATACCTATTAGTTGACAAAGTATTTAACTAGCTTAGTCCATTAAATAATTTTTCAGTTAAAAAATCTTGTTAGTGAGTTAGTGTCGTCGAATCAGAAATGATTTTACAATGTTTTTTGGGTGTAACATTTGGTCTTATAATCTGGTTTCTATATCAATCAAGTAAAATAAATAGTTTCTACCAAAATATTCCCGGGCCAAAAGGAGTTCCTATTTTTGGAATTGCTTTTGAATATAGAAGCACACATGGTATGGACTAATTACATTTTTATCGTCGCTAAAATATTGCAGAAATCTTCTAGATGTATTAAAAAATCTTACTTCTTATATTAAAAATTACGGCGACATTGTAACAGCAAAAATAGGCCCTTTTCGACGGTACCTTTTAGTGTCTGACTACAAATTTTTGGAATGTATTTTGAGTAGCACAAAACTAATTAAAAAATCACACCATTACAATTTTTTCCACGGGTGGTTAGGTACTGGTTTACTTACAGCTGATGGTAATGTTTCTACAAAATTCTTGTAAAAAATTAAGAAACCATTTTAGGGACAAAATGGAAATCTCATAGACGTATTTTGACTCCAGCTTTTCACTTTCAGATTTTAGAACAATTTATTGAAGTTTTTGAAAAATGTGGTGATATTTTGGTAAACAAATTAGAAAAAGAAGTAGACAGTAAAAGCTTCGATATTTATCCTTACGTGACCTTGCACACTTTGGATGTAATATGCGGTAAGTTTGAAATAAAAAACACTGAAAACTCAAAATAATAATTGCAGAAAGTATAATGGGAATAAGTGTAAACGCCCAAAACAACAGCACATCAGAATACGTTAACAGCGTTCGAAATATAAGCAGAATTTTTGTAGAAAGATCGGTTTCTCCAATACAAATGTGTCCCTTTATGTACACTTTCACTAGAAATTATTGGGCGGAAAAAAAAGCTTTAAAAACTTTGCATCAGCACACGAATAGCGTAATAGATGCTAGAAAAAAAGAATTAAACAAATCTGAAAATACTAACACTAAAAAATCTAAAAAACCGTTTTTAGACTTGCTTTTAGAGACAAAAATTGAAGGCATGCCTTTAACACAAGAAGAAATAAGAGAAGAGGTTGACACTTTCATGTTTGAAGTAAGACTAATTTTAATATAACAATTTTATCGCAACTATTATTAAAAAATTAGATTATTTCAAAATCAACTTTTAATTAAATCGGTGTCCTAAGTTTAATTTTAAAAATCTTTTACAGGGTCACGACACCACAGCCTCTGCAATAAGTTTTACGCTGTTTTCTTTGGCGAATAATTTAGATGTTCAAGTAAGTTCACAATAAAATTAATTCTTTTTATAAGTCAGCACACAATTTTGTAATTTTGTAATGTAAAGTACAATATGCATTTGTAATTTCGTTTTTGTGTTTTATTTAAGTAACTATGTCACTCAACTTTTTAGGAAAAAGCTTTTGACGAACAAAAAACAATATTTGGAGACAAAAAGAATATTAGAGCTACATATGCCGACTTACAAAATATGAAATATCTGGAGAAAATTATTAAAGAAAGTCTGCGATTGTATCCTTCAGTGCCTTTTTACAACAGAGAAATTACTGAAGACATAACATTTGGTGAGATAAATTTTAAAACCAAAGCAAAAATTCAGTTCACTAAAAATGTTGTTTCGACACAGATGACAAGCTACTACCGAAAGGAGACACAGTAATGGTGTTTGCTTTTGCAATACACAGAAATCCAAAATACTTTGAAAATCCTGAGAAATTTAATCCCGACCGATTCTGTGACTTAGAAAACAAACTGCCCTTCGCATACATACCTTTTAGTGCTGGACCAAGAAATTGCATAGGTAAAAAATCCCAAGAAATAAATAATAAAAATGAAAAAAAAAAAAACAGAAACGGTTTACAAACAAAAATATTTGTTTATTACTCAGTTTTTCATGTCCCCTGTAAAAACTTTTCATTTATTGATTATTTGTGAAAATTTTTTTAGGTCAGAAATTTGCAATGCTAGAAATGAAAAGTACCATTTCCAAGATTTTAAGAAAGTACAAATTGTTACCAGCAGATCCACGACATGAATTAAATCTTGTATCCGAGTTGATTTTGAAATCTAGCAATGGCATAAAAATTGGTATACAACTTAGATGTTAAATAGTTAATTTTTTATTCGGTTTTATTAAGAAAAATTAAAATAGAACAATACTTTACAAGCTGAAATTTTATGCATATGGAAAAGAAGTAAGAAGAGTCAATGTAGGAAAAGAAAAATATTGTTTAATAAAATATATTTAATCTACATAAAATATAGGAAAATTTATTTAATTACTAAGCTTAGATTTAAGTTGGTCTCTCTCCGCTTTAAGCTTTTCGATTGTATCCATCCTTAATCTACAAATACGTTTCAATAGGTCATACTTTTCCTGTAGCACCGATGGTTCACTAAATATGTTACACTAAACAATAAAAAATCTATAAAAATTTGTTGTGCATTATTAACAGGGGGTACCTGAGCTTCAGCATGTGTAGTAGGAATCTTTTCACGTAACGAACACCCATTTTGTACTTCATTTAATCTTCTTAATTCATCTCTTTCCGTTTTTAGCGCCGTCATTTCTTCCAGAATTGATGCACCAAGTATATTACACTGTCAAAAAAAAAATACAAAAAAGTTTTACCCCTAATCAAATTGAATTTTCTTACTTCTGTACCAATTGATTGTTTATTTATTTGACGCGTTTGTTCATATTCCTTAATTTTGTGTTTCAGCTTCCGAATTTCTCGTTGTTGCATTTTATTATTTTCTTCTTGAAATTTCATCCACTCTGTGTACTGAAGCTCGTATTTTTTGTCCTGTTCCTCATAAACCTTTTGTTGCAAATTAACATAGTCTTTCATAGTGTTAAAATTTTCTTTTTGCAAAGTAGAATTCTGATTTTTTAACGTAATAACCACTAAAAAATTGCCATATAAATGTAAAAATAAAATTTCATAAGACTTACTTTTTTCTTGAGAAGTTACTACTCCAGTCAGTCTAGTAATTTCGTTTTGCAGCTTATCACAGTTTGGACAACCTAAAAAAAAAAAAAACAATTTTGAAGAAAAAGTATATAAAAAAATACCTTCTCTCGAGTCATCCCGTTTCTGATCTTTAAGTGCCATCATTTCCCCCAAATACTCTTTGTTAGTGTTTTCTAAATCATTAATTTGAGCTCTGAGAAATGTTTTTTCTAAAGAGAAATAATCTTTGAAAATCATGTGAGACTTTTTAACCGTTTCTTGAATTGCACATAAATCACAGTCGTTTTGGATTCGTAAAAGATCAATTTGACTTTTCAAAGTTGCATTATTTGTTTTGAGATCTCTTATAATACTCTTGAAATTTTCTCTTTCATCTTGGGAATGACGGACAAGCAATAGAGACTTCTGTTCAGAGATAAAATACTCTATAATACTACATAATACATTCCGGTATTTTATAATCTGTTCTAAATTAGATTTATTGTTACATGAAGTTAATTGTGTTATTTTATGTTTTAATTCTTCTATTTCCTCCAGATTTTTATCACTTTCCGAAAGACGATGTTTTTGTTTTTGTAATTCTAAGTCATTAAGAACTAATTTTTGCTTTTGATTCTCATTATCGTTCCTCAATTTTTCAATCTCTTTTTTCAAACAATTATTTTCAGAAGACATAGTAAACAATTTTTCTTTTAATTGTGCTTCCTTACTTTGAATTTCTAAATTTAGTTGGTCGTTACGTATTTTCATTGTCTCTGCTCTTCTTCCTTGTTCTTCAAATATCGTCCTCATTTCTTCAATTGTATTTTTCAGAGTGTCGTTTTGTGTACGAGAAACAGCAAATTCCTTCTTTAACGATTCGTATTCTTCAATTTTCTTCTTCATTTCTTCAATTATTTTTTTCAGAGAGTTGTTTTCTGTACAAGAAATCGCAAATTCGTTATTTAGTTCGATGTGCTTCTGCTTTAATAATTTGTATTCTTCAATTTTCATCTTCATTTCTTCAATTGTTATTTTCAGAGAGTCTCTTTCAGTACAACAAACAGCAAATTTGTTCTTTAATTGGATGGACTCATGCTTTACTGATTCGTATTCTTCAATTAATATCTTCATTTCTTCATTTGATTTTTTCAGAGAGTCGTTTTCTGTGCAAGAAACAGCAAATTCCTTCTTTAACGATTCATATTCTTCAATTACCATCTTCATTTCTTCTTTCAGAGATTTGTTTTCTGTACAAGAAGTCACAAATTCGTTATTTAATTCGATGTGCTTATGCTTTAACGATTCGTATTCTTCAATTATCATCTTCATTTCTTCATTTATTTTTTTTAAACAGCCGTTTTCTGTACCAGAAACAGCAAATTTCTTCTTTAGTTCTATGTACTCCTGCTTTAGCAATGTGTATTCTTCAATTGTCTTCTTCATTTCTTCAATTATTTTTTTCAGAGAGTTGTTTTCTGTACAAGAAATCGCAAATTCGTTATTTACTTCGATGTGCTTCTGCTTTAATAATTCGTATTCTTCAATTTTCATCTTCATTTTTTCAATTGTTATTTTCAAAGAGTCTCTTTCAGTACAACAAGCAGCAAATTTGTTCTTTAATTCGATGTACTCATGCTTTACTGATTCGTATTCTTCAATTAATATCTTCATTTCTTCATTTGATTTTTTCAGAGAGTTGTTTTCTGTACAAGAAGCAACAAATTCATTCTTTAGTTGAATGTAGTCGTGTTTTGACAATTCGTATTCTTCAATTAACATCTTCATTTCTTCATTTGATTTTTTCAGAGAGTCTCTTTCAGTACAACAAGCAGCAAATTTGTTCTTTAATTGCTTTACTGATTCATATTCTTCAATTAATATCTTCATTTCTTCATTTGATTTTTTGAGAGTGTCGTTTTCAGTGCCAATGGTAGCGAATTCGTTCTTTAATTGGATGTGTTCTTCTTTTAACAAATTGTATTCATTGCTAAAAAAATCATTGTCATGTCGGACATTATCTAACTCTTCCATAATTTTCTTATTTTCGTTTTTCAACGTTGATAAATTACTTTCAAAATTAGCTATGTTTTTATTTTTATCCGTCAATTCTAAAAATAAGTTATTAACGTTCGTTTTCAAGTCATGAAGAGTTTTGTTATTTAGTTCAATCTCAGTTTTCAGTCTGTCATTTTCTTCCGATAGAAATTTGTTTTCAGTTTCGCAATGACTTAACTCCATTTTCAGCTTAGAATTTTCTTCTAAAATGGCAGTACTTCCATTTCGTTCTTCTAACAGAAGCTGTTCTTTTCCAATTAACTCTAAACGAAGTTGATTAATACAATCTTTCATCTCAGTTAATTCTAAAGAATGTGATTTAATTAGCGAATCTTTCTCCAGAATTGAATTCGAAATTTCTTTGTCAATTTTCTCATTAACTAATATTTTTTGCAAATAAAGTAACTGATCTCTTATATCAATGATTTGAGGATAACAATAATTCTCAAAATCTTCGTTTAGATCTTCTTTTAATTTAAATTTTTCTTCTAATTCCTTTTGCTGTAACGAAAGATAACGTTGAATAATATAAAATCATATAAAAATATTAATTAGACTATTTCATACACAAAATTTGAGCCTATCCAAACTTTCATAATTTCTCATAATGAAAATATTGTTTTTGTAAATAAAATTAACGACATTTTGGCATGCACTCGGGATATTTCTATTGATAATTGCTTAAATTTTTACCCATAAACAATAAAAAAATTGGAAAACAGATTTTTACTTCACTAACTTTACACAAACACATTATACAGGTAGTCCAAAAGTCTGGAAACGATTTTATTCTGGCGAAACTCAATTTTTTTGGCAAATAAATTTATAGGCTATAAAAATTTTATTCAAAAAAAATTGATTATTAATTAATTGTTTATACTTACGAGATAAACATAGTAACATTTTTTTTAATGGAAATTTACCACATTTTTTTTAGACAACGAGCTTGTTACAAGAATTGTAGCTGTGCAATTTTTTTTTTGTAAGCCTCACATTTTTTTGTTAAAAAAAATGTTTGACTTACAAGAATTAAAGTAAATAAATTAATAAATGTTTAAAGGTTGTAAACAAGCGATGCAAAAATATTTTTTATTTTAATTAATTGTTTCAACTTTTGAGATTACCATACTAACAATTTTTTTCTTAAATAAAAACGGTTTTTTACTTATTGTTTCACAAAGATATGTGGTAGGTTTCCATTAAAAAAATGTTACTATATTTATCTCATAAGCATAAACAATTAATTAATAATCAATTTTTTTTGAATAGCATTGTATATTCCACACCTATAAATTTATTTGCCAAAAAAATTGATGGTTTCGCTAGAATAAAACTGTTTCCAGACTTTTGTATAGCAAAAAATTATTGCGTACCTGAATTTCATATTCATCAAAAAAATTGATGGTTTCGCTAGAATAAAACTGTTTCCAGACTTTTGTATAGCAAAAAATTATTGCGTACCTGAATTTCATATTCATGCAGTCTTTTTCTCGCATTTTGAAGCTCTTCTTCTAAACTAGCCTGCAACATTAATAAATTATCAAGTATAATTTAAGAAAATCATAACAAAACCTTTTTCAGTGCATCATTGTCTTCGTCTCCTGTCCCAATAGAAAATTTATTATAACCGTCGCTGAAACGATTAAGCTGCGGTGTTAAAAATTTGCTGAAAAGTGAATATTACATCAGTTTTAATATTTTGTAACAAAATAAACCTTTTCATTGGTGTTGTATCTTCCTCCATAATAGTTTCAAGAGCATTTTCTGCAGCGATGTGGCCTCTGAAAAAATTTATAGCGTAAATAATACAATTCATGAAAGGACTAAGAATACTTGAAGTTTAGTATTTAGTTCCACTCACTTTGAAGAGAATTCGTCCAAAAACAATAAACTGGATGCATCCTGATTTGCTACAAAATGATAAAATTAATAAAATAATTTAAAAAAACTTTATATCAATTACATCGTCCAAATAAGGGATTTTGTGTTGAAAATCCGATTGTGTGTCTTCTTTTAGGAATAGAAGGAATATTACTGATTTTGCCTCGTTGAAAGTGTTCAATTAATTCCATCTGTTGTTGCAACTTGTTCATCTCCCTCACATTAGCTTCTTGTGTTTCCTTAAAAAAAAACAATAAAAAAATATTATGCACATAATAAAATTACCTGTAATTTCTGATTAATGCACAATTGTTCTTCCAATTTCTTCTGCAATTGGGAATTTAAACTGGCATAACGTTTACTAACATCAGCATCCGTTAAAATTTCATTAACGTGGGGTTTATTCTTCACAGCTTTTGCTCGTTGCGCAAAACTAATAAATAAAATAATACCGATGATAATAATTTGCAAAACTTACGCCAACGTGGAACACGTGTCCTCTACTGACGCTAGTGTGATTGTTGCAATAATAAGGGTTTTTGAGTTACCACCTAGAGAGTCTTGGAGGAGTCTTGTCAATTTTGAATCACGAAAATTAATAAAGTCCTGACCATCACTTAGCTGTCTAATCACTAAACCTAAAGCTGACAAGGACCTATAAGATCAAAGAGATAACAGTGTCTATTTTTAAACGCACAAATATGCATAAAAAAGCGTAAAAATTCTTGACATCTGACATTAGACTTTGAACTTGAGACACAAATCCATTAATTAACAGAAATTAATTACTTATTTATGTGGCTGCCTTCTTTAAGTCTCGCTCCAGTGGCTTTCGTTTGTGCTACCCTTTCAGAACCTGCAAGGTCCACTAAATTGAGGTTTGAAACTTGAACAGGTCCACTAGTAAAATCAGTTACTTGAGTGGATTCAATAGTCTAAAAATATGCATTAAAAAAGCTAAACTAAAGTAAATTTCTTACGATTTTAAAAATGGTGTGTGACCTACTGCTCCGATCGTTGACTGTGTTTGAGGCAATGTGGCGATTCAAAGTTCCGGTTTTCAGGCACTCAAACATTTGTTTCCTACTTGACACAATTTCCTCCTTAATATTTTGCAACCCAATAGTTGCAGGGAAGAACTCACGAATCTTGACATCTTTATTTGAGGGATCCAACAAATCGTAGATTTTCTCATTGTAAATCTCAATATACGAGACTCGAATTAAAAATTTCCTATCTGCAGTGTTTTCAATATTGTTGAAAATATTTTCGATGGCCAATGTCATGATCCCTGACTGTCTCTTGTCTCCTAACATTGTGTAAGTTTTCCCTGAAGACGTTTGTCCGTAAGCAAAAATAGTTGAATTTAGTCCATTTAAAGACGAGTCCACAAAATCCCTCACGATGTCGTCATAAATATCTGAGTTTGTTTTGTCAATTCCAAAAATGTGGTCTAAAATTGTAAGTTGAAATGGATTTGGTCAAGGTTTGGTCACAAACCGAAGCTGAAAGCGTCTCCAAACTTTTGTCCATTGTTGTCAACCTGGTAAATTGTGTTGTTTTGGGTGCTCCACTGTGCTCGAAGCCTCTTCTCATGCTCGGTTGCGATAAGAGGCCGGATTCTTATGGCTACCTGTATATTTGTAGACATTCTTTTTACAAACCTGCGATAAACACCAAAAAAACAGTAAACTTATTGAGTCATTATCTGCGTTATACTTACTAATAAAACAAATTACAAAATTACACACAAATACTACCTAAAATTCCAACACATTAAAACTACAAATGAAACTTTTCAAAATATTTAACGGTTTTAAACGTCAAGAAAAAATAAAGTACGCTTGCGCTAAAATACAAGATGTCAGTTGTAAGGTATCACTGGTGTCGTAAAAGCTCAAGTGCATAATGACTAAGGTAGACGAGTCTGCTCAACTAAAATAAAATAAATTATTTCTACACAACCATAATCTGACAAAAATCAAAAAAATGTAGAATTGGCTTAAACACATGAGTTGAATAGCTTCCCTTAATTTTATTATCATGTACAGGTGTTTCACATAAGTTTACGAGGCCTGCGCCTGTAAGATGCAATCAGTAATACATATTCCGATACGAACTCGATTACAAATTTTGAAAAATTAGATTATCTTCTCCAGTTTGTTCACCCTTTCAAAAATTACATTTTTAGTTAGTTAGTGATTAAAATAAACTACAACTACTGTCATGGGTTTCCAAAAATTGCATAATTAAATGTGTATTTTTTGTATCTAGTGTATTGTGCCTTTTGTATATTTGGGTGCGTACATTAGGCGCAAGCCTCGTAAAGTTGTATGAAACACCCTGTATTTGTTTTGGGTTTCAATTTCTAATACACGGAATTTTGGACATCAAATTTATGTCAGTTTAAAAAATGTCAATGTACGGTTGGAGACAAAATACTTTGGTCGTCACTTTTCGGACATTTTAATGTAATTCAAGCTTTAACGTTAAAATGAATAACAATGTCAAATTAATGACAGCTAATATATTCACAGATTTATATCAAAAATATGTACATACAACTTGTCAACTATCAAAAACTTGTCAACTATGATTGACAGTAGCTAAAAATAAGGTTAACAGTCCTAAAGCATATTTTACAATTTAGACTTGCTTTTAAAGACAAAAATTGAAGGCATTCCTTTAACACAAGAAGAAATAAGAGAAGAGGTTGACACTTTCATGTTTGAAGTAAAACTAATTTAAACTATTATAAAAAAAATTACACCTTTTTCAACTGTATTTCCGAAAAAGTATATTTCAGAAAATGTTAATTGTAATTCAGATTAGTAAACTGTATTTTAGAAAACATAAAATGTAATTCAGAATCGTAAGTTGTTTTTCAGAAGACGTTAAATGTAATTCAGATTTGTCAGTTTTATTTCAGAAAGTGGTAATTGTAGATATTTTAGATTAGTAACTTGTATTTGAGAAATCGTTAATAGTAATTCAGAATGCGTCACTTGTAATTCAGAAATAAGATTTTGGGCTTAAAAATTAATATTGCAAGATAATGGTTTCTGAATTACAATAAATACTTTCTGAAATACAACTGATTAATTTAAATTCTAATTTATTCTCAAAATCTTCGTTTAGATCTTCTTTTAATTTAAATTTTTCTTCTAATTCCTTTTGCTGTAACGAAAGATAACATTGAATAATATAAAATCATATAAAAATATTAATTAGACTATTTCATACACAAAATTTAAGCCAATCCAAACTTTCAATTTCTGAGATTCATCCAATTAGACTCCAATCTTTTTAATTTCTCATAATGAGAATATTGTTTTTGTAAATAAAATTATCGACATTTTGGCATACACTCGGGATATTTCTATTGATAATTGCTTAAATTTTTGTTCATAAACAATAAAAAAATTGGAATTGGAAATCGTTAATAGTAATTCAGAATGCGTCACTTGTAATTCAGAAATAAGATTTTGGGCTTAAAAATTAATATTACAAGATAATGGTTTTTGAATTACAATAAATACTTTCTGAAATACAACTGATTAATTTAAATTCTTATGTATGCTTTCTGAAACTAAATTAACTAATCTGAATTACATGTGATAGTTTCTGAATTACACTTGAAAAAGGTATAGTTGTATACACATGTTTTTCAAATTAACTCAGCCTCGTAAAAAACCTCATGCAAACTCGGGCTTCAAACATGCCCTGTGAAGGGTGTTTCTTTGTTTTTTCCTTTTCGTATTCATTTCTTACAAACCAAACATTGGCATTTTTGAAAATTTATCCATTGTCATATATTTGACAACTAACCGACATTTAATGAATTTGTAGTTTCCAACAGTCTTCTTCACTTGTTGTTTTAAATATTCCTGGCATATTTTCTAAGAAAATGACTAAAGCACTTGGCAAAATAAGTTTGTTATTCTCCAAAAATTTCACTCTTTGGAGACGAAACCTCGGGATGGCGTTGTATGAAATAGGTGGTCCCCTATTTTTTTGTTTTTTGCTTCTTGTACTGAGGTCAAAGTTCCAAATGACTGAACAAGAATTAAAAATTTATGAACCATTCAAGCCAAACCCGGGGACACTTTGCTCCAGCTATGGCAACAAAACCCAAATGTACGTTTTATATTTCTTGGACATAACATTGCATTCAAGCACAGCTCTGTTGCATATTCTCCAACAAGCCCATTATTGGAAAATACGGTAAAAAACGTCTGCCCAAATGTTGGTGTCATTAAAAGTTATAAAACTGCGAAAGAACTGAACGCTGCAATTGAGGAAAAGAAATTCTCGTTTGCATTACAAATGGATGATAAGTTGTTGGGAGTTGATAAAATCAACGACCTTCCTGGTAATATCGAAATTTATTTGAGGTGAGATAAGTGTAAAATTGACAATTAACGAGAAATTATTTTTTTCTAGACTACCATCAGAAGACCACAAAACTAGTCAAAAAGACGAATGGTTTACTAATTTGTTATACCCTGTAGTCCAAGTAGGTCCTAGGTCTTTTGGAGAGGCAAATGGTGGTGAGCCAGGTAAGAAGCGACTCGAACTAATACTAAATAATAAATCTAACTTCAATAAACAGGATATGGAAAAAGAGGTTTCCTTTATTTGCAACAAACTGTAACGTTTTCTTTTATAAACTTGGCGGAAAATAGTACACAAAATCTTGATATACTATTGAACAGATTTCCTAATCCGGCATGGAAGGAAAACGCAGTAAATTTAAAACTTATCCAAGTTGTTTCCGCATTGTTTATAGTAATGGCTTTTATGATAAATGTCAATAATATTGTTACTCAAGTTGCAACAGAGAAAGAAACACAACTCAAAGTACGAAAACCATATGATATAGAAGGTGGACCATCTCAGAAAACTTCTTGGGGCGGTGCATTTTTTAAACTCTGTTTTTTCTTTAAATGGAAATTACCAAGTCAAAATTTTGGTAAAAAAATTGGTAGCAACTTGTCTCATAGCCACAAAGTTTCAAATTGAAATGTTATCAAAATTTTGACTTTTAAATTTTGTGTGCCTGTTTGCTCTATGAAAGCGCTATAATTGAATACAGACATCATTACCTAAGAACAATGTTGTAGACAAAAATAAGGTTCTTGCTACAAAAACTTTGAAAAAAAAAAAGATGTATATGGAGAAAAAAATTCTTTAGCAAAAAATACAAGTAGGTATTACGATGATTGGCAATAAATTTTATGTAATTTATTAAAATGAGCTCAAAGTTGATGCATTTTATAAATTCTTCTTGAGCTTTAGTTTCAAATTGTTACTTTTTCAACTCGTTCCTCAAAAACGATACACAAGAGACTAATTTAATTGCGTTCTTTCTCATTCATGATTATTTTGTATTCTAGTCAATTTTTTGCAAAAATTGAGAATGTTTAGCAAACCTGCATTAAAAATTTCGTGTACATTTTAACGGGCCCTTCCTGCGAACTATTTGTTTTCGAATTTCTAAAAACTGTTAGCGGTACCGAATTTTTTCCTGTTTTGGTGTTTCGTCTCTAATTTTTTTAAACAATTTTTTCTGTTGACGTTTAATGACATTGTTTTCAAATTAATTCAAAAACCGGAACTTCAACTTCCTTTATTAAAATTACCATGAATGAATTTACTACACATTTTTCAAGTGTAATTTAGAAACCATCACAAGTAATTCAGATTAGTCAATTTAGTTTCAGAAAGCGTAAATTGAAATTTCGATTAGTCATTTGTCTTTCAGAAAGTGTTAATTGTAATTCAGAAGAGTAAAATGAGTTTCAGAAACCATAAGATGTAATTCAGATTAGTTAATTTAATTTCAGAAAGCAAGTCACTTGTATTTCATAAAGTAATAATTGTAATTCAGAAACCATTACATGGAATTCAAAACAATAAATACATTCAATTTCATGTTACATGTAATCCAGAAAATATCAGTTGTAATTCAGATGAGTAACTCACTGTTATCTCAAAATGAAGTTACACATAAACACGAATTATTTTATTTTCAGAATTAAAGAATTACATAAACTTGGTATTTTACAAAATAAATAAGATATTTTATTTTCAAAAAAATTTTGATAATGTAATTTTCAAATGAAAATAACGAATTCTGAATTACAATTGAGGAATTCTCAATTACAAATGACAAACTCTAAATTATAACTAAGACTTTCTGAAATACAATTGACTAATCCGAATTTTAATTTACGCTTTCTGAAGTTAAATTAATTATTTTGAATTACATCTGATGGTTTCTGAAATTCAGTTTACGGTTCTGAATTGCAATTAATACTTTCTGAAATACAATTGACTGATCTAAATTATAATTAACGTTTTCTGAAATCTATCTGACGCTTTCTACATTACACTTGAAAAAGGTGTAGTGGTGCCAACGTTAAGACTATTTGGCATTTCCATTAGAAAAAGAAACAGACTTTATATCAAATTTATTTTTGTGTTACCAAAAAACTGACATTCAAGGAATATATGAAAATCATGGGTCTGTCTGCTTGGATACATTGGCTATCATGGTTATTTTGGAGTCTTTTTGTGCTAACATTGGTAATTATTATCTTGGTTATTGCTCTTAAAGTGAAGATTATGTCCAGAGCGGTGTTTGTATACACAGATGTTACAGTTTTATTCACACTTTTGGTACTTTATGGATGTAGCCTTATCACTTTCTGTTTTCTAGTATGTTCAATTTTTCAAAAAGGTAACAAAAAACTTGAGAATACAATTGCATATCTCATTTTTACAGCAATTATTGCTACCATTGTTGCTGTAATTGTAATGCTTGCTGCATGTATGGCACCGAATTTGTTGCTGGAAAAGAACGACATTATACCACAAAGCACAAAAATTGCAATGAGCTTATTATCACCATCTGCAGCGTTTTTTGGTCTAATAATCATGTTTCAGTTTGAAGCAAAAGAAGAAGGTAATACATTTTAACAAAATAAACAACAATTCAAAAAATTCATAGGGAGTCATTGGAGTAATTTGTTTCAAAGCACGATACCAGATGATTTAACAGTTGGTGCAGTTTTCCTAATATTGATATTCGACACAATCTTATATATGCTTTTTGCTCTTTACTTTGAAGCAATAATCCCGGGAGAATTTTCGATTGCAAAACCCTGGAATTTCCCTTTCACACGGAGCTTTTGGTGTGGCACACCTCCCCAGGAACAAAGTAGTATTTTTTAAGTTTCTTTTCAACACTACCAAGTGTAAACAGGTGCACAAGAGTCGACTCAAGCAAAAGGAGAACAGTTTGAAGAGTTTACTGAAAAACTTCCAATTGGAATACGAATAAAAAATCTGTCAAAAACTTTCGGACAACACACAGCAGTTAAAAACTTGAATTTGGATATGTACGAAGGACACATCACGGTGTTGTTGGGTCATAACGGTGCTGGAAAAACAACAGCAATGTCTATGATTTGCGGGATCATCCCACCCACCAATGGGACAGTCATGGTAAATGGTTACGATGTAAGAACCAATATACAAAATGTCCGCGAAAGTATGGGAATGTGTCTTCAACATAACATTTTATTTGATAATTTAAGTGTTGAAGAACACTTGTGTTTCTTTTGTAAACTGAAAGGAACAAAGAGCGAACAAATCACGAAGGAAGTAGATGACTATCTCAAAATCTTGGAGATAGAAAATAAGGTGATTTCGGTGAATTAAATTTGAATTTCTCTTAAAAGTATTGTTAGAGAAGAGCTTGTTCCAAGACACTATCTGGAGGTATGAAAAGAAAACTAAGTGTCGCAATAGCACTTTGTGGAAAATCCAAAGTGGTGATACTTGATGAACCAACAGCGGGAATGGACCCCTCTGCTAGAAGAACAGTCTGGGCTTTGCTTCAGAAACAAAAGAGTGGTAAACAGTCTCTGAAACGGTTTTCACCCCATTTATGTTGTTCTTCAGGACGAACCATTCTACTAACAACACACTACATGGACGAAGCTGATGTGTTAGGTGATCGAATTGCGATAATGTCATTTGGAGAATTGCAATGTTGCGGAAGTAGCTTTTTCCTGAAGAAGAAGTTCGGTTCCGGTTATTCCCTAATTGTGGAAGTTACACCAAAATGTCAACCGAGATATGTTACTGATCTGTTGAGAAAATACATACCATATATGGAAATCCACGCCCAAATGGGGTCCGAACTCACTTACATATTACCTGATCGGGAATCGCAAAAATTTGAAGCTTTGTTATACGACTTGGAACACCAAAAAGCCAGTTTGGGGGTCGAAAATTTTGGCATTTCGTTGGCCTCTCTAGAGGAAATTTTTTTAAAGTGGGTTACTTGGAAATAGTTTCTGCAGGGTTATTTATAAATATGAAGCAATATTTGAACCTCAAAACTGAGCTATTAATTTAAATAATAACTCATGTGCTATCTCTACTGATAAGAATTTTGCAGCCGTATGGAAATTTGTTTTTTTTGTAATAACTTCGGAACCATTTGACCAAATCTTATAAAATTTGGAATGGTTACTTGCGAGAACATACCTTTTAAACTAGTAATTACGAAAACAGGATACATCTCAATTTCCGGTTCCAGCAATTGCTGGTCATATTTTCTGTTTTTTTTTTTGTTTTTTTAGCCTCTTAACATTATTTTTTTTTTGGTCAAAACAATAGAGTAATCAATTTTGAATAAAAAACGCATAACCTTTAATACCCCTAAAATGGACCGTTTTAAAGATATTTTAATTTAAAGTGAGGACTACACAAGACTGAAAGCAAAATGTATAAATTTTGGTGGCAACAAATGACCATGGTCACATATTTTGCTGTCAAGCATCTGTCAACTTGAGATTGGACGATTATTAGATGATTAATTAATCGAAAATATTTAATAAAAGAATTTACCTCAGACTCCAAACATAATTTAGAATAAATCCAAATGGATCTCGTAGCATTTAATTTATAAAAAATTCATAAAAAATTATCGTCAAAGTTAACAGATGCCTATAGCAGGGATTTGTGTGACCATGGTTATTGGTTGCCGTGGATACCACTTATTCAAAATCCATATTTTTCTTTTTCAGCGTTGTGCAGTACTCACTTTAAATTAAAATATCTTTAAAACGGTCCATTTTAGTGGTATAAAAGGGTATACGTTTTTTAATCGAAATTGATTATTCTTTAGATTGAAGCAATAAAAAAATAGTGTTAAGAGGCCAAAAAAACTGAAAAACACAGAAAATGTGACCTGCAACTGCTGAAACCGGAAATTGAGTAGATGTATCCGGTTTTCGTAATTACTAACCTAAAGGGTATGTTCTCGCCAGTAACTAGTCCAAATTTTATAATATTTGGTCAAATGGTTCCAAAGTTATTACAAAAAAAAAATTCCATACCCACATTTCGAGGGCAATAAAATTCTTATCAGTAGAGACCGGACACGAGTTATTATTTAAATTAACATCATTTTATAGGTCATTTTTGAGGTTCAAATATTGCTTCATATTTATGTAAATAATTGCAACGACATTTACAGAGTTGGAGCAGATCAAAATTCAGAAATGTTCAACACAAATCAATCAAAGAAAGAGATAACTCATGTGAGCGGTTTTGGTTTATTGCGAAATCAAATTGTGGCAATGATCCTGAAGAAAGAATTATCGATTTTTAGATCGTGGATCTTGTTTTTATTCCAAATACTCTTGCCCATACTAGTTTTAGTTTGTTATATTTTTCTCTTTGGTAGTAACCCAAATGAAACCTCATACTCTTCTCGGAAGATAGCTTTAAGCTCTTACAAAAATCCAATAACATTACTTGAAAACACAAACTCGATGGCTGAAACTTATGTAAAAGTGCTTAAAGGACATCAAGTGAAAACAGTAGATAATATCACTGCGAAAATCCTCAACTTGGTAGATATTGCACCCATTGAAATTTTCAATTATTTCTTATTTAGGAACCATCAACTGTAAAAGAAAGTTATATCGTAGCCGCATCTTTCAACGATACCACTGCCACAGCTTGGTTTAATGGTGATCCTTATCATGCAACCCCCTTGTCACTTAGTCTTGTTTTAAACACGTTGTACAAGACAAGTCTTGGTGAGGACAAATCTATTACGTTTTATAACCATCCTCTACCTCTCAGTGATGATGCGAAGGTAAATTTGGTTTTGGAATACAATTTTTACCATTCCTTTAGATTACAGCTACAGAAAATAAACCGTCATCGTCATCAGTAGAAATGGGACTGATATTTGGATTAGGGATTGTTGTTAGCACTTATATTCTGTTTTACATTCGAGAGCGTGTTTGCAAATGCAAACATTTACAGATGATTTCAGGAGTGAACGTTTTTGTCTTCTGGAGCACTGCTTTCTTGTGTGATGTGATATTTTATCTCATGACAATTATTTTTCTCCTCATTATATTAATAGAATCACCATTGAGTAGTCTACAAGCGTCAGAAATCGGTAAAAATCTACAATTTTTTATTTTAAACGAAAACCTTGTTTTAGGTATAGTCCTTTTGTTGTTTGTGTGTTTTTGTTTTTTTGTTTTACCTTTTATTTACTTAATGTCCTACTGCTTTAAATTGCCAGCTATAGGATGTGTCACAATGGTCTCAATTGGTTTGCTCATGGGTAAGTTGTAAAGTGGTTAGGATTTTTCCCATTTTTTGATTTCTAGGATTTCTACCACCAATGATTACGAATTTTTTAAAGTTATTTGGTGCATCAAAATCAACGATGTCTTTTATGCATTGGGTGTTTGCTTTTATTCCTTACACTGCTCTTTCCCATGGCATTTCTGATGTGGTTCATATCAGACATTTGAGAAATCTTTGTTTAAAAAATAACGTAAATGCTGAAAAAGCTTGTTCGCTTAATAAAATTTGTTGCGGTCCATAACATTCTAACTTAATTATACTACTCTACATGATTATTTGCAGACCTCGACTACTATTCGTTAGAAGCCCCCGGAATTGGGCTACTAGTAATAATATCATTTACTATGTCGTTTGTTATCTTCACGGTAATTTTTTTGATTGAATTTGGTGTTTTGGGTTGTTTAGTTGGCAAAATAATACATTTCGGGAAGCGTCCCAATCGGGCTGTAATTCTTGAAAATGATGTGCAAAGCGAAAACGAGAAAATTCGAAGAAAGTCTGAGGAGGATTTGAAGAGTGAATACTCTGTGGTGCTTCGCGACCTCACCAAATACTACGGAGTGAGGTTTCTTGCGGTGAATGACCTCTGTTTGGGGCTAAAACCGTACGAATGCTTCGGATTGTTGGGCGTGAATGGTGCTGGCAAAACCACCACTTTCCAAATGCTAACCGGTGATGCTAGAATCACGTATGGCAATGCGTGGGTTGAGGGATTGAGCGTGAAAACCCAACAAAAACAAGTGCAGAAGTTTATCGGTTATTGCCCCCAATTTGACGCCGTTTTGGACGACCTCACGGTCAAAGAAACCTTGCTGGTGTTCGGCCTCATCAGAGGAGTCCCATTCAACGAGAGCATCCCTCTCGCTGAAACTCTTGCCCATGATTTGGACTTTTTCAAACATATTGATAAAAAAGTGAAGCAGTTGAGTGGCGGTAATAAGAGGAAATTGAGCACGGCGCTTGCCCTGATTGGGGACCCCCCGGTGATTTTTCTCGACGAACCCAGCGCTGGGATGGATCCAGCCACGAAGAGAAACCTCTGGAACGGTCTTGCAAAGTTGAGGGAGAGTGGAAAATGCATCGTTTTGACATCGCACAGTATGGAAGAATGCGAGGCTTTGTGCACGAAAATCGCGATTATGGTTAATGGGACTTTCCAGTGTTTGGGGTCCACTCAGCGACTGAAAAGTAAATTTGCGCAAGGATTCACGCTTTCAATCAAAATTAAAAAATATGACGATAAAACGCCCATTGATGACCAAATCAAAACCATCGATCATTTCATTCAAAGATATTTTCCCGGATCGGAACTGAAAGAGAGGTATCAAGAGCTAGTGACCTACAAATTGGTTAGTGATAGAATGTCTTTGTCGCAAATGTTTGGACTTATAGAAGGATCGAAGCGACAACTTAGTATCGAAGATTATTCTTTGGGGCAGTGCAGTCTCGAACAGGTAATAAAACCACAACCAAAACTTTAATTCGTTTTGTGTTTCAGGTGTTCCTAAGCTTTGCCAAAAATCAAAAGGAGTAACTTTCATCTTGAGAGTGCAATTTGCAAAATCTATTATGTTATTTGTAGCAAAATTAAAATTATCAATGATAAACACAAATACACTTTCTACTTTTCTTCTACGAAAAACAAGCCTATTTATGGTTCATTAGCTTCCTCCTCCTTTGCCTCATCCATGGGAGACGTTGCTTTATCGATAATCTCTTCTCCACCTTCTTCGCTTTCCTCCTCCTCCTCCTCCTCCTCCTCCTCCATCTCCGTAGCCTTTTCTTCGGTAAATTGCCGGCCATCGACGTTGTCTTCCGACGTTTGTTCTTCCAAATATTCAATGGTGTAATTTTTACGTAATTGTAATACGTAAAAATCCAGTTTTGATATGGAAACATGACGAAATTTGTACGAAAAGAAAATAATTTTCTCGTCGCCGTCTTGAGAATAACTTAAGAAAATTACACTAACAATTACAAACACTGTGTTTACGAAAGTGAGAATATTAATCATCTTTGATTCTTTCTTGATTTTCAATTTCGTCTCTTGTCCAGCTGAATCAATACTCCAGGGTGATTCAACACTCATTGCTTTGTCCAATACACCAGATTTAATTATATGAGTGTATAAAGTAAATGTGAACTTAAAAAAACGCAAAAACTTAAAATATGATTCTAATTAAATACATTACAACTTACGTAAGGAAATTGCATTAAAAGCCAGCTGTAATTCCATATTTCAGACACATTAAAAATAAAAATGTAGTGATATACAGTTAATCCAATTATAATTATGTTGTAACAGAGACAGATTTTTAAAAGCAATTTGACGAAGTTTAGATAAAACACATCTTGGGCCAAGATGCGAACAACTTTTAATGGGTCGTCTAAAACAGTAAAAAATCGATGATTTTTGCTCATTTTCTCAAATATGTGACTTGCTACCTTTCTGTTTTTCTGGCTCACGATGATAATTCAATGTTAAGTGATTGTAAACCAATATCTAACTGTAGACTAGGTTTAAGACTGCTTCTGTGTAATTGGAATTGTTAAATTCGTTTGTGAAATTACTTTAGATGCGCTTTTAATAGGTAGGTACTCAATATTGTTAAACATTACCAGTGTTTTAAACTAATTTTCTTAAATTATGCATCCTTGAACGTTTCCTTAGAAAATAGTGGATGCGCCGGGCTATGTCTAAAAAAAATTTTTGTAAAAAAGGTTCATGGAAAAATAAAAATTAAAAAAAATTCTTGTAATCCTAAAAACAATTATTATAAAGAAAATTGTTTTTGTTCTCCGAGAAACTGTTAACTCTGCTATTATAATTGTACAATTTTTGAAATTCAAATAAAAATGCTTGGAATTATTTGGAATTATTAAAATTATATCTTTGAAATTAGTGAAAATCTTATTATAAATCTTTTTGGAATTGCTTCATTTTTTTTTTTTAGAATTGAGGGATTATTTTGGAATTACGAAAATTAATTTGTATTCAAGACGGAATTACAGGAAATAATTTGGAATTATAGTAATTATTTTGAAATTACAAAAATTAATTAGAATTTAAGCTGAAATTACTGGAATTTTGGTGAAATTTTTGGGGATTGGAACTAGTTGTACATGCATTTTTTAAAAATTAACTCCCCCTCGTAAAAAACCTCATGCAAACTCGGGCTTCAAACACGCCCTCTGATGAAGTTTCTTTGTTTTTTTTCTTTTGATAGTCATTTTTTACAAACCAAACATTGTCATATTTGTCTATCTATAAAAAAATTTGCACTTTGACTCTATTTATTTTTGTTGGAAAAATAATTTTCAGGCTTCTGGAAGAGATTGTAACTCTATTTAATGTTATTTGTGGCTTTTATTGGCAAAATTCAAATTATCAATGACAAACACAAATACAGATGATGTTCATAGCACTTTCTACTTTTATTCTACGAAAAACAAGCCCATTTATGGTTCATTAGCTTCCTCCTCCTTTGCGTCATCCATGGGAGACGTTGCTTTATCGACAATCTCCTCTCCACCTTCTTCGTCTTCCTCCTCCTCCTCCTCCATCTCCGTAGCCTTTTCTTCGGTAAATTGCCGTCCCTCGACGTTGTCTTCCGACGTTTGTTCATCCAAGTCATTTTCTTCTTTAACATCCCCTTGTAAAAGTTTCTCTTCGTGTGCTTCCACAACCGCAACAAATTTACTCTTTATCTTCTTTTTCGGTTTCTTCTTAATTTCCATGATGATATCTTCGGGAATATCGTAGGTTGGTGGGAAGAAAAGCTTTGCTTCTTCTGCCCCTTGAACCGTGTCTGGGCTCGCATACGAAGGCCCCAAATCGTAGAAAGCATCAAACCAATCATAAGATTTTGCAAGTTGCACGACGATTTTCTCTTCACTGAAATTTCCAAGAAGATGGGTTTCAAACATTGAGACAACATACTTACTAAGTTGGAGGTGTTGTCTGTTTTTCGAACTTGTCGACAGTTTTAGTTATTAGTTGTGCCATCCCTGGGGTATGGTTAGAGAAAAAACCGTATTTCATAATTGCGGTGGGAAACTGGTTCCCCAATTCCATAACCTCCTTGTATTTGAAAGCATCATAGGCTATGATTACATGAGGGGGCACTGGTTCCACTTCAGGAAGCTTATAAGGTCCTGAAATATTTGGGAATAACCATTTCAGACCCATAGCCTTGCAGAGGGAATTAGTAGGTGCCCAAACTCCAGGCAATTCGATGTTATCTCTTGTAGTTAGCAGTTTCCGATAAGGACAATTTTCATCACCTGGTGGTTTTCGATGGTTACCATAAACCATTTGGGCAACAACGTCGTCAATGGTATTTGGTAAATTCTCAGAACTGCGTTTCATCAACAGTGCCATTGATGGTTTCTTGAATAACTCTTCATTCTTAAATTGCTCCACTTCCTCTTCGGCGAAAAACAGCAATTCTTCCAAAGCGGTTTCGCTAACATGAACCAGCTGCATGAAAAAATATTATGTAGACAAAGAAAGATTTAAGATTTTTAACATTTATTTAAACAACATTAAATAATTCAGGGTGGGCTTTCTGCATTAGGGGGCTCATCTACAGTTTCAGCCTGTGGAGGAGCATCAGTTTCAGGACTTGCAATAATTTCAGACTGTTCTGTTTCTGGCGGGATCGACGGTTCCGTTTCAGGTGGAGCTTCCCCCTCAGCTGGAGGAACCTCTCCTTCAGCGGGAGGAATTTCGCCTTCGGCTTCCGGAGCAACTTCTTCAGATGGTGCAATTTGACTTCCTTCTGTATCTTGAGGAAGAGTTTCAGGTGCACCACTGACCATCGATTCTCGTTCTGGAGTCGCTTCCTTTTGCTCTTCCATTTCTTCCTCTTCGTCAGGAGGTTCATCGTAATCATCACCAAAGAACAACTGACATTCCCTTTCACCCTCTTTGATGTTTGGACTGATATACAGCGGCTTGAGTTGGGCGAAAGCCAAAACACACTCACTTTTCTTTTTTGCAAGTTGAATCACCATTTTCTCGTTGCTGTTTGAAAGTTTAAGTAACTCGAATGCAACTAACTCTAACTTACGGAGTTCTATCAGGGGATCGTTCGTATTTATAAATTGATTTCGCGACTAATTTCGCCTCTTCTGGTTTTTCGCTCGTGAAAAAGCCGTAGCGGATCACTTGGTCGCTGTATTTCTCCATAAAACTCGCGATTTCGTGTCTTCGGATTGCTTCAAAGACTACAGCGTAGTGGGGAGGAGTTGGTTCTGGTTCTGGTATAAGATAATGTTCGGTAAGTCTGTGGAAAAACAGCCTCAAAGCTGTAGCTTTGATCAATTCATTGTCAGGGGCCCAAACTCCTACACTTTCGTGGACTGTCTTCTCGTGGACTTCTTCCTCTGAAGGTTCGGGGAGTTTTGCAAGAACTCGAGCTGGACTGTCCGGACTTCCTGGTGGTTTTTTGCTATGGCCGTAAAGAATTTCCAGAATTAGATCATCAGTTGGGTCTTCGACGTCTCTAGCCGGTATTGGTTTGACTTGCAAAATGACACATGTGTTATTCAACAATTCTTCAACTGCTTCTTCGGGAAAAGGCATTTCGCCGAAATAAAACAACTCATCCAGGATTTGTTGGGTGATGTCAACCTTCAGGGGGTTAAATTTCGACAAGGGATTCGGTCATACTTACTTTCTCCGTCTGGGCTATGGTCAAACCAGCCTCACCCAGGAGGTCCCCGAAAGCCTCCTGGTAGGCAGTTTTCGCATGTGGAAATATCAAAATAACTCCCATGTGGTGTAAAGTTTCCAAAATCTTGTGACACTCCGCTGTGCGTCTCTCAAGCAGTTCTTTGGCGGCTTTTGCCTCCTCCTTCTCCCTCGCTGCTCTTCTTTCGTTTTCTACAACCTCCAATCGCTCTCTTTCCTCTTCAGTAATCTCGCTTATCTCATTCTGGACTCGGTCGCGGCGTCCTTGTCTCGCTTCGTTCTCTTTTCGCAGCTCTTCAGTGATCAAACGAGTCAGTTTCGGAGCGTTGGCCCCAAACATGAAATTCACCATTTTGCCATTCTAAAATCTAAAGTTGCAGGTTTTACCTCAATCTGACTCAAATATTTACAACAATAAACATCCAAGTTGGTTCACTCTTGTTTCGGAAGCGTTCCAAAGCGGTTATTTTGTCCGCTTTTGCCTACGATTTTGAGAATTTTAATACATTTAAAGGAGAAAGAGTTCTCGTTACTATAGCTAGTTGAAGCACGTCGCCCCCTATCTCGAGTTTTAATTTTTTCAAAGTTGCGGTCATTCCGGAGCAAGGACCGCACCATTCCGAGTAGACGTCAACAACTACACAAGAAAAAATATTTTCTGCAACTTTTATGCTTTCAAAATTACCAATAAGTCCGTCACGTTGTAGGAGTTTTTCCCAGTCTTCGTCGCTATTTACTTCGGTTTGTAACTGAAGAGCTTGACCTTTTTTTGCCATTGTAAATTGTCATGAACGAGATTATGACGATTATGACTTAATTTGTCAGTTGCTAAGAGTTATTTGGAATTATTGATTAAACTAGAGTTTCTATATTGGCTTCCAAGTTTTACTCTCCCCAACCTTTAAATGCGTAAAAATATAACGAAATTCTTTTGAGAAATTTAAAGTTGTTTTATAATTATCCAAATTAGTTTTACTCAAAAAAACTGTTAAAGATTTTGTTTTTGAAGTCATCAAAACGAACCAGTGACTTACAGCTTCCACAAACCATGCTGTGGTGAGGATATGGACTTGTGCAATTTTTTTAATGAAAAATTTAACAAACCATTTCTTGAAGAAAATTATACATTAATGATGACGTTGACGAAAAAACAAATCATTATTAATATATTTTTTTTTTAAATTGTTTTTCATATTAAAATTATTTTATAAATCATTTAAAATATTATGGTTTTACATAGAATCAAGTTTAAAACAGAGAAAACCTATTTCGTACAAAAATTATGTTACTTAATTTTAGAAAACAGTTTACCAAAAAAATGTATTACATTAATAATAATTTGTTTTTTTGTAAATTTCAACTTATTAATGCATAATTTCCTTTAAGAAATGGTTTTTGATAAATTGTATGTTTATAAAACTAAACATTTTTATTTAATTTAAGTATTACAATTATCAAAAAATAAATTTTGTAGCAGAACTAAAATATTTGAAATAATTCTGCCGGTTTTTTCCTGGTAAATAATTTTGATTCGTTTTCAATGACAATTACAAAACTAATAGAAAACTTCTTCTCGCAAATAAACAATAGTTTAATTCATTTGTTGTTTTACATAAAATCAAGTTTAAAATAGAGAAAGCCTATTTCGTTCAAAAATTATGTTAATTAATTTTATTAAAAAAAAAAAAACAGTAAAAAAATATTAAGTTAATAATGATTTGTTTTTTCGTCATGTTATTATTAATGCATAATTTTCTTTAAGAAATGGTTTGTTAAAATTTTTCATTAAAAAAATGCAATATTTTCAATTGATTAATTTGACGTTTGTCAATGCAAAATAAATGGCAACTTAATTCGAATTAGTTTAATTCTGAATTAAATTTTCATTTCGCTTAGAAGGATTTATCATAAAACTACAAGAGTCGGCATCCAGCAAGGGCATTTTCATTTTGTTCGACTGTACGTCAGCCGACGTATATAAAAAAAATATTAGAAAAATGACATTCAGTGTCCCAACTCTTCTAATATAAAAACTCTAGATTAAACATGGTGTTGATAGGATATTTGTGGATCTTGGATTTTAAAAATAGTATATTAAAGAACACGTTTCTGAAGGCAAGTTTTGTGGAACGAGTTCAGGTTTATGTAACGAGCAGCGACGCGCGAGTTTTATAAAGAACGAGTTTCCACAAATGACTTATGAAACTAGTTTTTTATGCTAGTTTTTTTATTTTGCGCGTTTTACGTATTTTTTTTACCATAAAAGTCGATTTTTCAAAATTTAGGAACTTTTGCTTTAATAAGGTGATGGTAATAAATGTCACAAAAATTCGACTTGCAAAATGTCAAGTCTCGAGTATTTTTCAAAATTTTGTTGAATTAACAATAAACACTGCAAATAGTTCATGCTCTAAAAGCAGCTGAAAATCATCATTACCAACCTCTAGAAAGTAAATTGTACTAGTCTATTTCAGCACTCGAATTGGTATCGGTTTTGGTATTGAAATAAGTTTTTTCTCAGACGCAAAATAGAAAAAATATATTTTCGCTTATTCAGTAACATTTTTAACATAATGTATTTTTTTTATAAAGTTGGAGACAAAATACTGTGGTCGTCACTGAGTGACATTAAATTGTAAAGCATGCTTTAGGATTGTTAACCTTATTTTTAGCCACTGTCAATCATAGCTGACAAGTTGTGTGTACATCTTTTTGATAGGAAAATATAATAGCTGTCATTAATTTGAAATTGTGATTCATTTTAACGTTAAAGCTTGAATTACAAAAAAAGTGACGAGCAAAGTATTTTGTCTCCAACTGTACAGGGTGCTGCATTTTGGATGTCCGAATAGGAAATCTCCGAAACTAAGAGGTTTAGCCAAAAACGAGTAATACATTCTGGGGCTCATTTTTTGAAAAAATAATATTGGTTAAAACCGCATCCCGCTATCGTCTTTTGTTTTAGACTTGTAGACAAAAACTGACAATTTAGCGAAATCTAAAAAAAATCATATCTTCGTTATTATAGAAGACACAGATTTGAAATAAAGACATTATACAGGCACTTTTTTACGTAGAATTTAATAATGTAGTTAACAATTTTTTTCAGTTGTTTGTTTAGCCGTAATAAAATAAACTTGTATTTTTTTAAATGGGAATCATAGATGGCTGTCATTTTTAAAAAGCTTGTTTTTTTCTTATCTAAAAAATATATATTTGTAACAAATTATTATAATACATTTTTAGCAAAAAATTATCTTTGATTTTTGTTCGCAGTTGGTCATGAAAAAATGTTGCATCTTCAACCAAAAGGATTTAAACTATATTATATTCAACCAGTGTCACTAATGAAAGACTTTTGTAAGTACTTAGTGATGAAAAAGATGCAAAATAAATTGTAAATCAACTTATTGGCGACTAATACATTTCTTTGTTTTTAAACAAGCTAACATTACCATTGCAACTTCTAGTGATACATAGAGTGTTGTAAAAAAAAGCCGCTTTAATTCTTCAATAAAATATATTTTATATGACACAAAAATGACGATATGGCTATTCAAATACCCAAATTCCGTCTATGTGAACTATGTGAAACGTTATCCTACCTCCATTAGATCATCAAAAAATGTTTTTTATAATTGTGTTGACTGTTGACACATTTGTTTTTCCTATTTTTGGATTTTTTAAAAATATGTAATAATTTTGTTCTGAGGCGCTCGGATATTTGTTCAATGCTTCTACCGTATCGTATTTTTTAAATCTTTATAATTTTATCTATTTTACAGTTCACAAAACTCTTATTGATTATTATTTACACATTTGGAGTGAAATAGTTTTTCCATGGCCAACTATTATCACACAAAGTATGTATTTCACTTTTTAAGTATAGTTATAAAAAAATATTTTGTTACAAATATATATTTTTTAGATCAGACAAAAATAAGCTTTTCAAAATTGCCATAGCCTATGATTTCCATTTAAAAAAATACAAGTTTATCTTATTACGGCTAAACTAATAACTGAAAAAAATTGTTAACTACATTATTAAATTCCTCGTAAAAAAGTGCCTATATAATGTCTTTATTTCAAATCCGTATCTTCTATAATAACGAAGATATATTTTTTTTTAGATTTCGCCAAAATGTCAACTTTTGTCTGTAAGTCGAAAACAAAAGACGATAGCGGGATGCGGTTTTAACCAATATTATTTTTTCAAAAAATGAGCCCCAGAATGTTTACTCGTTTTTAGCTAAATCTCTTAGTTTCGGAGATTCCCTATTCGGACATCCAAAATGCAGCACCCTGTACAATGTTTGAAAAATTCGATATTCGAAGTGTCAAGTCTCGAGTATTTTTCAGAATTTTGTTGAATTAACCATGAATACTGTAAATAGTTCATGCTCTAAAAGCCGCTGAAAATCACCATTACCAACCTCTAGAAAGTAAATTGTACTAGTCTATTTCAGCACTCGAATTGGCATCGGTTTTGGTAATGAAATAAGCTTTCTTTCGGACGCAAAATAGACAAAAATATATTTTCGCTTCTTCAGTAACATTTTTAACATATTGTAATTATAAAAAAAAAAACAATTTTATAATAAAAGTCCAAAAATTGTTCTCAAAAGATTTTTTTCTTTGTTTGACATTTTTTTAATTTGAATTACTCAAACACTTGAAAAATAAATATCTGTATTTTTGCCACTATCACCCGCTTATCATTCGTTCCTGCGATTACACGTAGTACACCTCAAAATGGACACCCATGACGTGGTGGACGCCGTCGACAGCGCTCCTTCGGCCAAAATCACCCTAACGTACCCCAGCGGCAAGACAGTCGAATTCGGCAAAGAACTCAAACCCGAGGATGTGAAAGACGAGCCCCAGGTATCATGGGAAGCCGCCCCTGACAAGTACTACACCCTGCTCATGTTCGATCCGGACGCCCCCAGCAGAATGGAGCCGAAATTTGCAGACGTGAAACACTGGTTGGTGGTGAATATTCAAGGGTGTGATGTGAAAACTGGGGAACTGATTGCGGAGTATGTGGGAGCAGGCCCCCCCCAAGGGACTGATTTGCACAGGTACATTTTTCTTGTTTTTGAACAAAAGGGAAAAAGGGAATTTAAAGAGCCTAAAAGTGGCAAGCTGGATAGGGAGCATCGCATTTGCTGGTCGATGAGGAAGTTTAGAAGGGAGAATGACCTGGGGGAAGCTTACGCTGGGAATTATTTTCTCGCACAGTGGAGTCCGTTTGTTGACGAGTGGAGGAAACAAAGGGAAATGGCTGCTAATAATGCTAATAAGGATAATTGACTCGAAACTAGCCAATTATTATTATTAATAAAACATGTTACCTTGTTATAAAAAATACCTTTTTTATTTTTCTTTCCAAACATTAAATTCAGAAGTAAACAATCACTATGATTCATTCTTCTTATCAATTTTCTAAGTAAGTGATTACTGTTGATATAAATTAAACGGTTAGTTTATTTATAAATGTTGTAATAAAAAAACAAAAAAAATGTTGGCAACACTGAGTTATAAAAGTAAACCAAATAAAAATTTTTAATTTGATGTTAACCTGAAGATAAAACCACAGTCATCATACAGGGTGCCCATTTTATCCGTTCCCACCTGAAAGAGCAAAAATAGGCAACATATTATACATTTCATAAATTATTTTGTGTAAAATATTAACTATTCTAAATTGAATAATCATAGTCGGTGCTTGACTATCGAAAGCTTCAAAAAAAATTAAATTCAAAATTCAAATGTATAATAGTGGGAACAACAGCAAATTAACAGATTATTGTATTATTGGTTGCCTATTTATAAAATTTAAAGAGAGAACAAACACATGCAGGATGTTTCACATAATTTTACGAGGCCTGCGCCTGTAAGATGCAATCAATAATACATATTTCGATACGAACTCGATTACAAATTTTGAAGAATTCGATAATCTTCTCTGGTTTGTTCACCCTTTCAAAAATTACAACGTTTTTAGTTAGTTAGTGATAACGAGGTCCGTGGCAACACTAAAATAGCGCGTCCCTAAAACCATTCAAAACTAAAAAGTTTCAAACTAAAATGGGTCACTTCTAAAATAATTCAATGCTATAACCGTTCATTCTTAAAAACATTCAGCCCTATACCAATTCATAATTAAAACCGAATTTTACTAAAATAATTCATTTATAAAAAACTATATACCAAAACGTTGCAAAGCTAAAAACGGAAATCACTATAACCTTTCATCACTATAATTGGTCATGACTATAACTGGTCAAACTAAAATAATAGTTTAAGCAGCAACTCACAGATGTCGCCGTAGTTAGTATTCTTGTACACGTCTATGCGTGCATCTGGTGCATAATACCGAAATTTCGAAATACCGAATTCCATAATACCGAAATCACAAAATTTGTTTTTATTTGACAAGACAATTTGTTGTAATATAGCAACACTGACTCTGCCACCGCGAATAAAAGTAAAAACCCCATTTCAAGTCATTTCTATTTTTCTAAGTCGAAAAAAGTTTCAAAAGGTGTAAATTGGCAATCTAACCTCAAAACAGGACATTTTTCTTTAATTATCTCATTTGATCAGTCGTTTCCTCAAAAAATGAGTGGAAATAGAAACATTTATTCGACGGTTCGTTTGACTGGAGATATGAAATAATAAGAATCTTTGTAGTATAAACTGAAGACTCCGATTATTTAATATAGCGTTGTAATCGTAATGCACAGTAGAAAAAAATGTGTTTCATAGAAAAATATATGCTTAGTACACAAAATGTTAAACGCTCAGTAAAATGATTGCAATTTTTAAATACAATAAAATAAATGTTTAAAGTCGCGGTCAATTCATAGTGGCCATTTAATTTTTGCAAAGTTGGCAGCAGAAGTAATGGAAAAAAAAGCGTAGTGCTTTCCCACAATTTTTATTTCATTCAAAATATTCTTGAATCCTGTCTGTTAACACATTATCATCTATGATATGATTAACATCAAAAAGTATAAAAACAGTGTTCCATTAAAAGAAAATAAAGTTGATATCATTTCCGGTGAAACAAAAAACATCATTAATTTAGCATCTATCCCAAATGATAGTTGACAAAAAAAGTTCAACTTTATATACATATATAGAAGTATTATAAATAGTTATTATTTTTTTAAGTATTTGTAATAATATTAAAAAAATGTCTATTTATTTGAGTTTTAAATTAAGTATTGTTTAGAATATTTTTTAAGGCAGGAATCTATCTGTTTAATTTATTTTGTTCTAATAATTAATTTTTGTTTACTTGTAGTATACTTTTTGCGATAGGAATTCAGATAAATTATAAAAAAGTATAATTTTTACGCTGCCCTCTTGTGAACAGTAGTCAAAGCTTTTTGACACTTTCAGCTAGATAAGCGTTGTTACAACGGGAAATGTGTTGTCTAATTGTGAAAGAATTAGTTTGTTTGAATAATAAAAGAACGAAATAATTTCTAGTAACTCTGAACCTTTATTACTAAGTATTTTTTTAAATATGGCCCAAATTTCGTTTGTGTTTTAACTTAATGTGAATGTGTGTGTCTGTACTAATGTTAATAAATAATAATTGAACAAATTCTCTAAATTATTTATTTTTTATAAAGCCTAATAAAACATTAATAATTATAACTCGCTATATAACGTAATACTTAATAATTAAATAATAATTATGAGTATTTTGATTGTGAATAATTAAATAATAAAATTTATTGTAGTTAATTTAAAATTCGCGCTACCAATTTTAAGTATAAATTTATATCAGTGCTGTACTTTGGAATAACGACTTTTCGAGGAGTTGACCAATCAGCGGGGGCGGTCCGATGTCTAGGTTTGTTGCTATGTAGCATATCCAGTGGCGTTACTACACAGAACTACACTACACAGGGTTATTGTAAGAGATATGCTGTTTAATTCTATTTTGGATTAGTGATATACATGAGACTGTTGAAAAGTGAAAGGGGGCAATGCAATTTTAATATTACTTGAAAATAAGTATACATTGAATCTGTAAATACTATCATAAACATTATAAACTTTAAGTTACGCCACTGGTGGGTAGTTTGATGTAGCAGTTCAGCAATTGGTCAACGTGTTTCCCGGCTAAACATAAGAATTTGATTGGCTCTGTTGAGAAAAACCGTTACAAGGATTCTGCGCCCATAAATAGATGAGTTTGCGCGGACGCTCTTCACTTTCTGCGTAAACGATCTTTGGAGACGTTACCCGGGACTTTTAAATTTTTTTGCTTTGTGTTGTATTTTCGTTTTGTTCGTGTTTTTTTTTCGTATTTTTTAGTATTTTTTCCTTATTATTTTCAGTTCGCGTTTTTTGTAGTAGTGTTTTTTTCGTTTAGTTTAGTTTCGTTCCGTTTAGTTTACTTTCGTTTAGTTTAGTTAGTGTTTATTAGTTTTAGTGTGTTTATTTGTTTTATAAATTTATTAAAAAACACTGTGAGTGTGTGTGAGTTTTCATAATGCAGCACCCTCATTATTTTTTATAATTATAGATAATGAGGTACAACGGATATGAGTACGTTGCTTCGGCAACAATGAGAGGAGGTGCTGTGCGGTAAGTTAAACTCTGGTCACTAGTTTATTAACCAAAATCGCATCAACCTGAAAAATGTTGTATTGTGAACTATCTGGAGCCGCGATTACTTTTATTAGAGTTCCTACAGTTGCGGACATGAAATTTTGAACATCAAATTTATGTCAGTTCAAAAAATGTCAATGTAAACCTACCTGAATTTCAGGTATTTCAAGTGCAAACAGCACACAAATTTTTGTGAGGCTAAATTAAAATTGCAAAACGATGGTTTCACACTTATAAAGCCTCACAACAACCATCCTCCTCCGTTAGATGAAGAAGAAGATAATACTGTTATTTTTAAAAGGGTGCTAAAAGCAAGGGCTATTGCAGAATCCACCCGTCTGCATGCAATTTATGCGGAGGAAGCCAGGCGGTGATAATTAACACTAACTTATTTTGTCAAATCTTTAAATACAATAATTGTAGGCACGTTGAGGCCGCCATATATTATACCTGGGCGAGGGCAGAATCGATGATGAGAACTGCTCGACGACGGTCAGTTCCCGCTGTCCCAAACAATTTAATTGGATTGGGCAATGTTTTGGGACAGCAATTAAGCGAAAAATATGTTTGCTGCGAGCAAAATATTTTTCAGACAATCTTGGGGGAAGAAAATGCAGCAAGCATAGTTTTCGCCTGTAGGGAATTTGTAAACAACTTGGTGCGCCGGGGCATCACCGAAATCCACGCAGACGGGATAATTAAAGAAATTAAAGAAAAATGTCCTGTTTTGAGGTTAGATTGCCAATTTACACCTTTTGAAACTTTCTTCGACTTAGAAAAATAGAAATGACTTGAAATGGGGTTTTTACTTTTATTCGCGGTGGCAGAGTCAGTGTTGCTATATTACAACAAATTGTCTTGTCAAATAAAAACAAATTTTGTGATTTCGGTATTATGGAATTCGGTATTTCGAAATTTCGGTATTATGCACCAGATGCACGCATAGACGTGTACAAGAATACTAACTACGGCGACATCTGTGAGTTGCTGCTTAAACTATTATTTTAGTTTGACTAGTTATAGTCATGACCAATTATAGTGATGAAAGGTTATAGTGATCTCCGTTTTTAGCCTTGCAACGTTTTGGAATATAGTTTTTTATAAATGAATTATTTTAGTAAAATTCGTTTTTAATTATGAATTGTTATAATGCTGAACGTTTTTAATAATGAACGATTATAGTATTGAATTATTTTAGGTGTGACCCATTTTAGTTTGAAAGTTTTTAGTCTTGAACGGTTTTAGGTAAGAAAGTTTTTAGATGTACGCGCGTCCCCAGTGATAACTACAATTATATTCATGCCGTCTCTTGATTGAACAAATGTGTATTCTTTGTATCCAGTGTTCTGTGAATTTTGTATATTTGGGTGCGTACATTAGGCGCAAGCCTCGTAAAGTTATGTGAAACACCCTGTATACTCTTTTTCATATTAATGTGCATCAAGTAGGTTGTGGAAGTCTAAATGCATCTTTAAATTAGAGGCCGATTCACACAAAAAGTGTAATGACATTCACAACAAATTTAATCAGATCAAAAATGACAAAAATATTTATGTTTTCCACCCTATGTTAATTAGGTACGTTGTCAATTTTAATTATTTTTGCTACCTCAAAGACTAGGGTACACATTTATTTGAGAAATATTTTTTTTTTAGGTTGGAATTGTTTTAATTTTCGCATGGTTGCCACCTTAAAATGATCCCTTTCAACGACTACTTAGATGCTCATTAACAAGAAAACGATTATAAAATGGGCACCTGTACACCGGGTGAATGTAAATGATTGTCGTTTTTGGCGTCAAGTTGGCGATAAATTTGAAATACCAATTTTGTAAATGCAAATTTGTGGTTTCTTCAATGTTGCCAGTCACAGACTATTTTGATCAGAAATTTAATTGACACGTGCATAAAAATAAAAAATGAATTTGTTATGATTTTGCAAACTATTTTTTATTGCGGTTTCCTGATGAGATAATTTGGTTTTATTTAGTTCTCGAAAAAAAAATTGTTACTTTCACTCTTTCGATTTACTTAAGTAAAAAGTTAAAATGGAGTAGAAAATAGATAAATATACTTTATTGTAAAATAACATTACATTCATTAACTAACCATAAATATATTGCTCTGAGGAGTATACAACTGAGAAAAAAAAAACGGTAAAAATGTTACAAATTACATGGCTTTAATTAATATCTTACGATATGTATCACAATACACTTTGTTTGAAATTCTGCCTTGATCATAACAGAATTGTCAAATATTTTTTGTATTCAATATTAGTCTTGTCTTTCATCACTTGATTTGATCACAAAATGTTAGGAAAGATTTATCTCAATGCTCTGTAAGAGAGTCCTTTGTTTTGTATAGAATAATGATCAGGTAACTGAAACAAAAAATATTTAACAATTCTTATTCTCCTTATTCCTCCGTGTCATCACTTACAGGAGCTCCAATCCTGGACAAATACCGATTCCTAATTTCAAAATCCGAGCTCGGTTGTAAATTATCATTGTCATTACTTGAGCCCGCTTCAGAAGATAAGAGTCTTTGTTTTTCTGCGTCTGCGGCGCTTCTTCAAATTGGGGACAATAAATAAGTACATTTATTTCACGAAATACTTACGATAGCCTCTCTTGATGCGCTACTCGATTCCCGGGAGTCATATTCAACACACCTCTGTGGTACATGTCAACCAACCATAAAACAAGAGTGAACACTAAAGCGACTAAAAAATTTAATATTTTAACTCAAGAACTTCGTCCCACATACTCAAAATACCTATTAGTGTGCAAATAAAAAACACTTCAAGCCAGATATAGCCGTAGGTGTCTTTAATGTGTCCAGCAACTATTGTGAAAACGGCCAAACCAAGATTTTGAACAGCTTGGCAACTAAAAATTATGATAAAAAAATAAGAAATGAAGCAAGAAATAAACTTACACGCCGTAAGCTGTTCCTAACTGATACTCAGGAATTATCAAAGAGACCAAAGGCCATAAACTACTAGCCAAGCATGCGTATGCAAGTCCCAAGATAACCTAAATCAATGACAAACATTTAAGCCTCGAGTCAATTAATTTGCGGATAAATTACCATTCCTACGTAGGCGTTGACATCGGTAAAAGCCCATAAAGTGTGTGACCCAATCGTCACTGAAATCGCTAGCACAATCCATAAAATATTTTTGCCAACTTTATCTATAAAAAGCCCCACGAGGGGCGAAGCCACTCCTGATATTAAATAAATGAGACTATTAATCGTGTTCGCCTCTTGTTTACTCATGTGGAATTTTTTAATAAATAAATCTCTAAAACAAGGATTTGATTGGTTGATTTCAATTCGGCGCCGTTACCGTGGAAGGCTATTGGTCTCCCCTCCACAGTATCGCTTATTTGATTGGCTAGTTTGAATTACTTACTTTCCTAGAGCAATAAAAGGAAAAATAGCGACGTAATACGAAACACAGATGACAGCAATGAGCCAAAACGTGAATTTAAACTCGGCAACGTCGGTAAATCTGACAACTTCAGGGTTTATGGTTTCGTTTCGTCTTAGGATATTTTCAGCCCGTTTGTCCATAAAACCCAAAACTAGGGCACAAAGCATGGAGAAGAGACAAGTCGAAGTGGCCACAAATAACACTATTCCGAGTAATTCCGTTCCTTTGTATTCTTTATTAACCCACTGGTATATCGATTCCATGACGAGAAAATTCACAGTGCTACCAATCCGAGCAAAACTCAATTGTAGCCCAAAAACCATGTTAAGTTCTTTACCTTTGAACCACAATACGGCATAATTGTTCTGGGCAACTGCCAGAGACTCAGCCCCTATGCTATGAGAAGAAAAGTTCAGTTTTGTTCTTTTGTTTTTGGGGGCCTTACCCAAAAATAAATCTGCCCATAAGCATTATCCAGAAAACATCGAATAGGGCCCCACTGGCAAAAATAACTTGGCCCAGTAGGGTGAGACCCGAATAAATATTGGTGCCAAGTCGAATTCCGAAAACTCGGTCAATGAGAAAACCCCCGACGAAACATAACACAACGTTGGGCCAAGAGTACATGGAATAAAGTAGGGAATATTGTGTTACGGTTATATTTAAGGTTTTTTCAATGTGGCCTTCTAAAGCCGAAGGGTTGTCGTAACAAAAATAGGAACCTACATTGCAAAACCGTTTTGTTATTAAACAAAGATAGGAAAAGTGTGTTAAATTTTATCGTATTTCAGTCAAAGTTCAACCAAACAATGAAGTAAACATAACTGGGATAAGAACGTAATAATAAACGTGATTGGGTCGAATGGGGGCACATTTTGAATTTTTGACAATCAGCTGTTACAATGACACTTGTCTAACCTAGAAATACCACTCACCAAAACCGAGGAAACACATGAAAATTAGGGCTATAAATCGGTGTAGTCTGCCCCTGGGGTCACAACAGCTGTAGTAACATCCCGAATTTCCTTCTTCCTCGGCAGTGGAGGAATTTATTGTGTCGTCTGCTTCTTGTATGTTGGGTCCACCCTCCATTTTTGTAGAGTTCTTCGATAAATTGGGAATGCACACTTACTCGCAGGCTAATTTAATTGATCCGACATTGTTTTTCATACTATGACACCCCCCAAATAACTTCTTTTGTGTTCACTTTGGATACACTGGTGACGACCTTCTAAAACTGATAATGTCGCGGTTTGTTGTCAGAGACGTTTCGCACAAATGTTTATCATAGCGAGATATGTGATAAGAAATGGTACTATCTCAAGCAAATTTTTATTATTTATATTTTTTCCCGTTTTCTTTTATTGACAAATTTTAATTTTCTGGTTACTTTATTGTTGTCTGGTTGGTGGAACCACAAGTTAAATTTTAGGCACCCTAGCGGCAATTTTAAAAAAATGATTATATTTGTGTTACTTTCATTGAAATTAAAAGTTTTATTACTTAATTTTTCAACTTGTCGTATTTATTTATGTCCACTGTAAATTTCGTTTTTTCCACACACAATTAGTGACAAATCCTGGCAATCTAAACTGTTTTTTTTTTAATGGACGACAAATTACCTCTATAGCCACAAATAATTTTGTTTGATTTTTGTTTTTGTTCCTAGATATTTTGTTACAAAATTATGGTTGTTTTCATATTCAGATGTTGTGAAAATTTTGACTTTTATCAATGTTTTTTGACTTTCTGCAACTTTTTGTCTCTAAAGTTCCAAAAACTGTTGACGGTACCGAATTCGTCCCTATTTTTGTGCTTCGTCTCTAAATATGCTTGTGTTAAAATTAATCAAAAACAATGAATTTGCTAGTGGTGCCAACGTTAAGATTGTTTGACATTTTCATTAAAAAAAAAAGTAAAAATTTTGGTCGATTTTTGGCACCCGGAGCGCTCCGTTGTTAATAACTTTGGACTTATTGGTAATAACCTCTTATATTTGAGACCGTTAAAAAAAGAATTTAATTTTCTATCATACACAAAAAAGATCAGTGTTCGACGATAAGTAGTTATTGAGAAAATTTGTAATAAATTTAAAAATTTCAAAAATACAGAGTGCGCCAAAATTCGCGCCCCAGAGAAAATTTTCAAGTAAGGTAAGATACCAGAAACACGAAAAATTTTTTTAAAGAATTCATAAAATTTTGACATTTATTTTTGACATTTGACATTTTTTATATCTATTTAATGATACTGATGATCTTGTATATGTTTTTTTACAATTATTTAGTAAACGGACAAAAATTTTGCCAATAAAAGCCACAAATAACATTGAACAGAGTTACAATTTAGGATACAGCTTCCTTGTTTCCTCTTCTAATACTTTGTAGCAAAAAAACTTGGAAAATTATTTTTCCAACAGAAATAAATAGAGTCAAAGTGCAAACTTTAAACCCTCATAACTTCTAAATTTTTATAGATAAAATTTTTTTAACATTTTTTCCATGTTCCTGGTATCTTATCTTATATGGCATTTTTCTCTGGGGCGCGAGTTCTGGCGCATCCTGTATAAATCCGACTATAACTTCAAAACTATTACGAATTTTGCAATTTTCTTGACGCGAATCGATTTCCCGGAACATTTTACATAGGTTTAAATTAAAATACTATATCATTGAAACACAGTTTTGCAGCCATTTACAAAATAAAGAAAAAGTAAAAATTTTGGTCGATTTTTGGCACCCGGAGCGCTCTATTGCCAATAACTCCGGACTTGTTGGTAATAACCTCTTATATTTGGTTCTGTTAGAAAGAGAATTTAATTTTCTATCACATACAAAAAAGATCAGTGTTCTACGATAAATAGTTATTGAGAAAATTTGTAATAAATTTAAAAATTTCAAAAATATAAATCCGACCATAACTTCAAAACTATTACGAATTTTGTAATTTACTTGAGGCCAATCGATTTCCTGGAACATATGCTGATTTAATCTACAGGATTGGGTTTTTGTATAAGTATTTTTAAGCAGTAAAAAGTTTTCGTCTTGTGTACAATAATAAATCTGTCATCTCTGCAACTCTTAATGATGCAATTGTGTATAGTGGGTCATCTATATTTTTGTTTTTAAAATTGTAATTTTTTAAATATCAGATATAATTTGTTGCATAGATTTGTAACAACACGAGAAATAAACATAGGCGAAGTTTTTATTCAAGGACGACTTTGTATTGATTCACCTATCTTATTTATCTATCACCTGTTGTAATAGCAGTCCACAACAAGCTCCCTAAACCCAAAACAACAAAATAAATGGACACCGACGACCTCGTCCCATCAATTCTCCCCTCAATCCCCTCATCCCAAATAACTATCATTTACCCCAAGAAGACCGTGGACCTCGGCCAAGAATTCGCCCCTCAAGACGTCAGAGACGAGCCCCAAGTGCAGTGGGAAGCCGACCCTGAGAAGTACTACACTTTGGTAATGACCGACCCCGATGCCCCCAGTCGCAGATGTCCTTTCGTGGCAGAGGTCCTCCACTGGCTGGTTGGGAATATAAAAGGATGTGATATGAGCACGGGCGAGGTCATTGCCGAGTACCGAGGAGCAGGACCTCCGCGAGGTACCGGATGGCATCGGTACCTCTTCATGATCTACGAACATGCGCAACCTGTGACCTTTGACGAGGTCAGAATGCCCAAAGAGGGCTCCAGACGGCACAGGTTGAGATTTTCGACGGAGAATTTCCGGAAAAAATACAACTTCGAGACGATTTTTGCCTGGATTTTTTTCAAGGCTCAGTGGAGGGCAGATCCAGACGCCCGGACTTGCGTTTGCATGTGATTTTGTATTTGTTTTAAGTGTGTAATAAAACATCTTGGTATTTTTTGCTTGTCACTTTAGTGGTGTATACGTGATAGTTCAGCACGACATGTTAAGATGATAGCAACGTTCTTGTAATAAAAATTCAAAGAAATGCGATCTCATCTTTGCAGTAAAATGGAAGGTTCAAGACAAAATACGATAAGGTTCAATAATTCTATGATTGTCATGTTTATTATTAATTGTTTAAAAATCTCTTTATTATTGAAAAATACTGTAAACAATGTGTCATAAAGACTGCTTTGATTTTGAGTCATTCCATGTAATAAATAAGAATTGATTTTTTATTGTGAAAATGAGATAATTAAAGTGTTATTTAGTACTTCCTGGAACAATATTCCGTTGGTGGTTTATCACATTTTTTTGGTTTGTCCCAGTTGTTAATTTTTCAAATAATTCATGTCACAACATTGGTCTGAGTATTTTAAAACATGCTAGAGCAATTTACTAATAAAATACACTGGTTCAAGATGTATAATCTGTATTCTGGTTAACATAACTAAAGATAAACAAAAATGGAAAAATCCGGTTCTTCCCATAAATATTTTCCGAAAATGCAATTCCTTGATACCCAATTGAATTCTAACTAGTGATAAAGCCTTATCAATTATCAGTAATAAGACTGAAGCATCAACACTGCATATCTGTAAAAAGAAAAAAAAATGTTTGCTCTTGTCAAGTTCATCGAATCAAATGCTAAAACCTAAAAATGATCGCCAATGAAGTTTGAACACGTTATTATCACTTCTGACGTCGGAAACTTCTCAATTTTGACGTCTGTTCGTTATCTGTAAAACTACACTTTTGCAGTAAAAGTTCTCTTGTATTTTATAAAGAATTTCTATAATGCTAGAATCGTAAAGACATCACTGTGTTGTATGTAAAAAGTTAGGTTTAAAGTGGATCCGGTTTGTAATCTACACAGAGTTCGAACTTCGAATCAGTTTTTTATTTATTACAATATGAAGTTTTAGACATAACATACATTTCATTAATTGTTTTTGAATGAAGGTTTGTTGCAATTACTACATAATTAAATTACAACACGTTCTTATTTACTACAATACTCGTATTATCGATATGGATCTTTGTTTTCATTTTGCTTACAGACAGATTTAAAAATTTCTGATTGAAAAAATATTCTCCAAATTTCCCACAAACCTATAGCCAAATTAAAAAAATATAATAAAAAATACTGCGTTTTTGTATTTTTATAAAATATAATAAAACATTTTTTTGCAAAATAGGGTCTATCAGAGTAGTAATCGACTTTTTTATCACACCACCAGTACATTTTAAAAAGCCTAGTGACAATTCCAAAACTGCGTTTTTGTGATTTCTTTCAGTCTTTGTAATGAAACACTAACAAAATATGTTTGTGTGTATTAATTAGGTACACTGCGCAACCCAAGAATTGTTTATGAAAGTTTTGCACAATAATGTCTGCTAGACCATTTTTTCTTTCTCAAAGTGAAAAAGGTGCAAACAAGAGTAACATCTTATATTCATTAAATTTTTTGAGATATTTTATAAATACAAGTGGGTATACAAAATGTCAATTATCTGAAACTGTCAATGATGTCAGAATAGTTACAAAAAACAAGTTTTATAAGGCCAGCCTTGAAGCACGAACTTAAGTTCAAAAAACGAGTGGCGTAGCCACGAGTTATTTTAAAGAATGAGTGCTTCAATGTCGTACGAAACAAGTTTTTTTATATTATTTTTTGTGATTTGCTCTTTATGCTGCTTTTAAACAATTTTTTTTACTTTAATCGATTTAGTAATTGTTGTGACAATTGGTAATGTCATGTTTTTTAAATCCCATCACATTGACGGTTTTATTTTTTTGACAATAATGTCACTTTGACAAATTAGTTTTCGCAAATAAAATTGTGGGAAAAACATAATTTTGATAAACTCAAAGAAACAGCTTTAAGATAAAAAACAAAGTCATTTTTAACGAAAACTATTATTAATTAATTAATTAATTAATTAATTGTCAAAGTGACATATAGTTGTCAAATAAATAAAAACGCCAATGTGATAGGACTTAAAAAGCAGAGATAGTCCAAAATCAAAAGAAAAATTAACTTTTCTTTTCACTGAATCAGAATAATTAAGTTTTAATTACAGATTTGCTCGATTCAAGTGAAGCGAAAAATGTTTCTCCTTTGCAATTTTTGGTGTAAAATGAAAGATAAAAAATGTTTCCTCTATTTCAATAAATTTATTTGTTTATTATGTATAAGGTGAACAAAAAGTACTTATGGAACCAAGCTTTTTTTAATATTTGCCTCTAGAAAATGATAATAAAAATTAAAGTACTCTGTTTTTGAGTTTTGCAATTGTAGTTTTTTATCGATAAAATGTGAATAAAACATATAAAATTGTAATCCTTAGATGAGCGGCAAAATTATGGAATAGTCTTATTAAAACTGAAAATATTTTGTTTTGACAAAAAAGTTTGAAAAAATACACAATTTTCAACTTGATTTAAAATTCAATAATCTTTTAATTGTCGAAATAACAACACCAAATATTAAATATACAGTATGTCCCCGGATTGAGTTTACAAAAGGATTTTTTTTTTAAAAGTTAATTTTTCTTTTGACTTTGGACTTTTTCTCTGCTTTTTAAGTCCTATCACATTAGCGCTTTTATTTATTTGACAACTATATGACACTTTGACAATTAATTGATTAATTAAATAATGGTAGTTCTTGTTAAAAATGACTTTGTTTTTTTATTTTAAAGCTGTTTCTTTGAGTTCCTATTTATCAAAATTATGTTTTTTTCAAACATTTTTGTTATTTAACTTGCGAAAACTCATTTGTCAAAAATGGAAGCAAATTAGAAAAACATGGTTTAAAATAAATAAAATGACAGTAAGGATGTTTTAGGTACAATTATGATAAAATTCTTGACCTGAAACAGTAAAAATCTAAAAGGATTTATAATTTCTAATCTTTAAGATATTGCCAAAGTTCAATAAACTCAAGTCACGTATTTTGACCTTAACCAAAGACAACTACTTTCATTATGATTTCTGCAACACCTTTAGAGTTATAAAGAAAATAAGTTCTTAGTAGTAAAATGGTGACAAAATGCTTACTTTTAAATATCATATCTACTTTAGTTGCAATTGTTTCAACTCATGACCATCACGCTCAGATTAAAAAGGTACAAACTTAATTTTTTATAATTTCTGCTTTAATGAGTTTTAAAATTAATCGATTTTAGCACATGGAGTCCGACGGCATAGTTCCCCAAATCCTCGGAGACGCCCCCCACGCCCATCTCTTCGTCACCTACCCCAATGGCAAAAAGGTCCATCTCGGCGAAGAGCTCACCCCTTCGGAGGTCAAAGACGAGCCCCAAGTGACCTGGACCGCCGACTCCTCCAAATACTACACTCTCGTCATGTTCGACCCAGACGCCCCCTCAAGAAGCGATCCTTCGTTCGCCGATGTCAAACACTGGCTCGTGGGGAACATTCAAGGGGGCGACGTCAGCTCCGGGGACGTTATTGCGGAGTATTTCGGCTCGGGGCCCCCCAAAGACACCGGTTTTCACAGGTACATCTTTTTGGTGTACGAGCAAAAGGGGAGATTGACGTTTGACGAGCCGAGGAGTTTGAAGTTGTCGAGGGCTCACAGGTTGAAGTGGTCTTTGAAGGAGTTTGTGAAGAAGTACGGTTTGGGGGAGGCTGTCGCCGGGGACTATTTCAAGGCCAAGTGGGAGCCTTATGTAGACGAGAGGAATAAAAATGTTACGAATAATTAGGCAGATTTAGACTTTGTGTAATTTGCTTATCTTTATTATCAATTTTGTATGGCAATGTGGTAATTATAGAATTGTTTTTGTGCTTGCCAGGTGACGACGCAGATTGAAATAAAGGTAGTATCAAAATATGTCAATATTTTTTCATAAAATCACATTTTTTACAAATATTTCACTCTTGTATCTTAATAGTTGTTTTAAAATGAAACAATATTACAGTTGAACCTCTATATTCCGAACTAATTTTAGTAAAGAGTTCTTCGGATTAACGACTTTTCGGAGAAAACTAAAACCAAATAAAAAATGCATAATTTTTGGAACTCTACAGGGTGTGCCAGAACTCGCGTCCCAGAGAGAAATTTCAAGTAAGATAAGATACCAGAAACATGGAAAAAATGTTTAAAAAATTCTATCTGTCAAAAAATTTTGTCATTTCATTTTTTAAAATTTGATATGTTTTTATGTCTATTTAATGATACTGATGATCTTGTATATGTTTTTTTTACAATTATTTAGTAAAGGTACAAAAATTTTGCCAATAAAAGTCACAAATAACATTGAACAGCGTTACAATTTAGGATACAGCTTCCTTGTTTCCTCTTCTAATACTTTGTAGCAAAAAAACTTGGAAAATTATTTTTCCAACAGAAATAAATAGAGTCAAAGTGCAAAATTTAATCTCTCATAACTTCGAAATTTTTATAGATAAATTTTTTTTAACATTTTTTACATGTTCCTGGTATCTTACCTTATATGGCATTTTTCTATGGAGCGCGAGTTCTGGCGCACCCTGTATAAAAAAAAGTAAAACTAAATATAAAAAATGCATAATTTTTGGGAACTGTATAAAGATTCATTGATAAATAAAGAATGAAATATTTTTTTTGATTAAGTTTAACTGTTGTGTAAAGTGCATAATTTATCTCATATCAGCGTTATTGAATATTCTGGATTAAAATGTTTTGCTACCGGAAATTACAATGCCAGTGATAAGAAATTAATGATTAACAATAATTAGCAATTCTTGATAATTCATAATACACGAACGTTCTGGTACATGCTCGAAAAACATAGTTAATTTTCTTAGTCTCCAAATAAGTGTTTAAAAATCATGAACCAAATTATTAAATTAAATAAAATACTTAAAATATTTGTGAGCACTAAGTTCGAGTTGTTATAAAATATGTCACAAACATGGCCCACAATTCAAAATGATTCTATTTTTAATATTAGCGCAAACAACATATTTGTACAAGTGTGATTATTTTTAGCACAAACAATTAATAAAAAATTATCTTTACATAATTATGTTCATCCAAAGTTATCGCAAATCCTGTCATCAAACGAACTTTGATTGCTTGCAATAATCATTGGATTTTCTTTTTCGTCTAAACATTTTTATCGTCTTTTCCTTCAATACATTGTACTTTGAAACGATTCTTGCGACCCCAGTGGAGTCAAAACATTTCTTCAAATTTGCATGCGAAGTAATATTCTCCTTGATAACACCCTTGACTCAAAAGTTCAGACTTTTATTACATGATAAAAAGTTTTATTATATGCCTATTGTTTCGCGGCGGAGACAACGATAGGGAAGAGGTAAATGAAAATTCCTACCTTTGAGTGCTCCCACGTAGAATCCAACCAAAAGGATGAGGTAGGAAAATAGGAAAGGAAGGGAAAGAGGTTGGGATGATAGGAATCTTCACTAATTCTTTAAAATCTGCGGTTCTGCTGAGCAATTTCCAATATTATCACTTTCTAGTTTCAAGACGAGTGATTCCAACAAATACAAATAATTCACACGAAAAAACCAACATAAACCGAAACCTTGTTTTTTAACATAAAACATTTTGTTTTTCTTAACAACCGAAACTAGGGCCGAATGTCAACGCTCTCTTTAAATTAACTAAATACAAATTATAAATTATTATGAGAAAATAAGGACGCGACATTCCGCCCACCTAAAACGAGAGTTTTAATTATTATTAAGCAAGCGGAGACATTGGCAAAGGGCAAATTTTTACCACTGGTCGCTTTATTTCTCCTTGTGAAGTGCGCAATGTAACGACGCGAACAATTCCGTCTGCACCAGGATGCGTCTGGAGGACACGAGCTAATTTCCATTGGGCCGGTGGCAATAATTCATTTTTAATTACAACCATATCTCCCAAAGCAACAGAATTATAAGATGGAGACAACCATTTACCGCGTTGTTGTAGCGTTTGAAGATATTCGTGATGCCACCAAAACCAAAAATCCTGGTGAAGACGCTGTAAAAGCTGCCAACGATGCAAAAATTTGGTTTTTAAGTGGCTCAAATCAACATCTGGCAATGCGGAGACGGGCTCAAGAGTTAAGAAATGTCCTGGCGATAGCACCGATAAATCATTAGGGTCTGAACTAAGAGGACAGAGCGGCCGCGAGTTAACTAGTGCTTCAATTTGCGTAAGAACAGTATAGAGTTCTTCATATGTTAAGATTTGTTCTCCGATGACCCGAGCTAAATGCCCTTTTACAGATTTTATTCCGGCCTCCCAGAGCCCACCAAAGTGAGGGGCAGAGGGAGGATTGAAATGCCATTCTAAGCGTTCGGCTACTACAGCTCCTTCCATTAAAGAATTCAGTTCCTTTGCAGCCCCTACAAAATTAGTACCGCAATCAGAAAAGATATATGTCGGCCTGCCCCGACGAGCTATAAAGCGTTTCAATGCGCGTAAAAACGCTTCGGTTGACAAGTCCGTTGCCAATTCGAGATGTAGCGCCTTTGTAGTGAAACATACAAAAAGGCAAATGTAGCATTTTTGAGACTTGCAACCACGATATTTTCCCATAGTAATGTGAAATGGCCCCCCAAAATCAACACCAACACACGCAAAGGCCTTTATTTGAGAAACTCTAAGTTTAGGTAAGTCACTCATTGGAGGTTGAATAGGTTTTGGGTTAAGACGCCAACAACGATAGCAATGGGAAATTACGCGTGATATACGTCTTTTAGCGCCTAAAATCCAGAATTGTTGTTGCAAGAGATACTGTAGAGTTTGAGTACCAGGGTGAAGATGACGACGATGCATGTCTTCAATTATAAGGTCAGTTAAGCGATGATTAGAGGGTAATAAAATGGGATGTTTTGCGTCGTAGCCTAAATCTGCGTGCATAAGACGTCCTRCAACACGAAGAAGTCCCTGAGAATCTATGAAAGGCGACAATTTACGAAAATGCTTAGAACGCACCTTGTCAGGCAAAGTTTCGATTGCGTCTGCAAAATGATAAGCTTGAACATGTTTTATGAGAATGTGTAGAGCATTTTGCAATTCAATTTCTGTTAATGACAGAGGGCGACGGGTTCTATGGCGAGCGTAATCAGCAACACGAAGACACCATGCAATGATAGCCTTGATTTTGTGTAAAGATGAGAATTTATTTAAGAGCGTGTCAATAATGTCAAAATTGATTTCTGAGACCAATACAAATTTTCGCATTTCTTGTTGTGCCTCTGAGGGAAGGTCTAATAATGGAGAAGACGAGTCAAATTCGTTCTTAGGATCAAGAAGCCATGGAGGTCCCGCCCACCATAAAGGATGTGAGACTAGCTGGGTACCTAGGAGCTAATCCACGACTTGCACAATCTGCGGGATTTTCTGAAGATGACACATGATACCAAGATGAACCAGGAATCACGTTTTGAATTTGAGCTACTCTGTTGCTCATAAAGGTTTTCCATGTGTGTGGAGAAGAACGAACCCAATTCAAAACCACAGTGGAATCTGTCCATGCAAAAATTCCATTGATTTTAATCGTACCATTCAGTGTAGCGATTGCACTCTCCATTAGCTTTGATAACAGCAAAGCGGCGCACAATTCAAGTCTGGGAATAGAAATCCTCTTTAAAGGAGCAACTTTGGATTTAGCACATAACAGTTTGACATTGACTTGTTGAGTTAAAGAGATGGTTCTTAAGTAAACAACGGCTGCATAACCAGCTTCACTCGCATCAGAAAATCCATGAAGCCAACAAGAAACAGTCTCATTCGGGGTTACCTTGCGAGGAATATGCAATTCAGTTAGGCATGACATTTGTGAGGTAAATTCGGACCATCGAGCTACCACGTCAGCAGGAGGAGCATCATCCCAACTGAGTCCGAGAGTCCATAAATATTGGATCATACGCTTGGCGAAAAATGTGAGAGGTGCCAGGAAACCCACCGGATCGAAAATTCGAGCTAATTCAGAGAGTAATGAACGTTTGGTGCACGAGTGCTTAGAAGGGGTAATTTGATAAGCAAAACAGTCACTTAGTGGGTCCCATTTGAGGCCTAAAATCTTAATAAAWGAATTTGATTCCTGATCAAAATTGAGAGGGTGAGTATTACAAAATTCAGGAGGAATTCCGTCCAACAATTCCGGAGCATTACTGGCCCACTTGCGCAATTGAAAGCCACCACGATCTAATAAAGTTATAAGTTCGTTGCGAATCTGAAGACCTTCTTCAATTGAAGGACAGCCAGTAATGATGTCATCAACATAAATGTCTTCAGACAATATACGAGAAGCTTGCGGAAAGGCAGATTCTGTATCTGACTCAGCCAGTRTCTTAATAACGCGAATGGCTGAATATGGCGAACAAGCTATTCCATATGTTACTGTATTTAACTGGAACTCTTGAATAGGGTCAGTAGGCGCGAAYCGCCAAAGAATCTTTTGAAAATGGCGGTGTTCTGGAAGAATCAGAATCTGGCGAAACATTTGGCGAATGTCAGCAATGAGTACATGTGAGTGAAAACGAAACCGGACGAGAATTTGGAAGAGATCGCTTTGCAATTTAGGGCCAACCAACAGGGAGTCGTTGAGAGAAATTCCACTTGCAGACTTACAACTAGCYTCAAAGACGACCCGGAGTTTGGTTGTTGGGCTATCCATCCGGATTACAGAATGATGTGGGATGTAATAGCCGATAGATGAGGACGATGTAGATGCTTGCATGTGACCAGAAGAAAGATAGTCTTGCATAAATGTCACGTATTCAGTGTATAGTGATGGATTTTGAATAAGTCGGCGTTCCAATGACAAAAAACGACGTAATGCGATGGAGAATGAACCCGGAAAAGTCAATGAATTTTCATTAGATTTGAAGAATAAAGGAACTGCAAAGCGGCCAGAATTATCGCGATAATGTTTTGATTCAAACGTTTCTTCCACCAATCTGTCCTCTGACGATTGAGAAGAATTATGACTATTAGGAGGTTCCTCTATTTCCCAAAATCTTTTAACCGATTCATTTAATTCGGCTTGCTCCATTGTCAAGTGAAACGAGTTTATGTTTTGGTCGATTTGATGTGATTTGATTGCTACCTTCCCCATTAGAATCCATCCAAATTTTGTTTTTATTGCGGTTGGTTCATTTGCGCCACCCTGTATACACTCAGAGTCAAAAATAAGCGGAAAGAGGTCGGCACCCAATAACATATCAATTTCTCCAGGAGTGTGAAATTGTTCATCAGCCAGTTTCAAATTGACAATATGAGACCACGACGAAGTGTGTAGAGCAACATTAGGAACGTTACTGCAAATTTTTGGAACTATTATAGCATCAACCAGAAACTGTGGGGAGTTTTGTTGTACCGGGCGTAGAGCACAAGTAACCATTTTATTAGCGC